TTCTACCATGTACATTTAATTAGTTAAATGTAAAAGATTTTTCAGTTTCTCATTTAAAAGTGAATCCTACATTAGTAAAAATGTTATCACAGCTAAATGACACTAAAACACCTTTCATCATGAAATTTTCTTAAATTTTTTTTTTTTTTAAACCTAAACTTCAGGGACTTTTATTTATGTTGATATAGGAATATTGTTAAGTTTACCCCTTTGTTTTTTCTCTTTTGAGCAGAAAAAAACATTTAGGAAACCCAATCATGTCACCCAAAGAGAAGAACCCTGGAGGTGCCTCTATATCACTGCTACCCAAGCCAGCGTAATGTTGTGAATATTTAGGTATCTATCATGTCACTATGCTTATTAGATACAGCCAGAAACCATGATGCACCTTCAGCCAGTTGTTTTCTCCTTTTTTAACCTCAAAATTCCAAAAGACCAGCTAAGCTTGGTGTATGACCACCATAAGAACTTCTTCTGGAGCAAGAATCAAATGTTGTGCCAGAGGAAAACTCTCAATGAGAATGATTGGTGCGTGTTAGGAAGGGGAATTTTATGGTATTCCAGAGAATGAGATCAGGGTTTGGGTCGACCCAAAGAGGGGGTCCATTCACAGCTCAAGATGAAGGTAAAAATTAGGGTGTTATTATAGAACTAGTTCCTTGGTTGTAGAAAATTATTTATCTAACAAAAAGCTCATCCCACCTTTTTCATATTAGCATATGAACTCTTAAGTAGCGTTCCATTCTGAATCCCTTGGTTTCAATTTGAGGTTGGTCCCATACTGGCAGATTTAAGGGCTTCAACTCCTCTGGGAAGTGTGGACCATTTTTACAGAAGTGAATTTGAGTTCATAGATGTTGACTCCATTTCATTCCGTAAGTTTTCTATTGGGTTGAAATCAGGGCTCTGTACCGGCCAATCAATCTCATTTACGTCTTTGGCTCATTGGGGTATAGTCACGTTAGGAAAGAGGTGATCTCCAAACTGATCCCACAAAGCTGGGTGCATCCAATTATCCTAAATCTGTTGGTACGTTGAAGCATGAAGAGTTCCTTTTGTTGGAACTTGTCAGACAAGTACTGTTCTCCTTGCACCAATCAATCAGACTCTTCCAAGTGGAGTAACACAATTTATCACAACAGGAAGTTTGGAGGTCTGTAGCTACTGACTATGTAGAAAGTTTGCCACCTTTTCAAATAATATACTGGCACCACCCAGTCAGGCAAATTCACTAGATTTGTTCCACATGTGGAATCTTATCACAGCAGCACAATGGGTGAGAAAAAAAAAGAATAAATCACTGCTTCTGGTACTCAAACCATTTTTTATATGAATGAATCATATATAGGTGCTTGGTTTTATACACCGGTTTATGGAAGTGATTGGAAAACTTGATTCCAATTATTTACATGGGTAAGTAAATACATTAATATAGTGAAAGTAATACTATTTGAACCTGTGAATGTTTTCCTTCACAGATTTTTTCAACCCAGAGAAGCTGAAGATGTATGGAACAAATAGAACATTAACATAATTTCAGGATGAGACGTCAAGAACTACCACCTGCAACTGCTGCTAAACATAAAGGCCTGATATTAAAACCGTCTTCTCAGAGTTTTTGTTGCCAATGTCTTCAGTGAACAGAGCAACAAAATAGAAAAAAACTAACACTGAACTTAAAGAAATTGTTTTGATACTTTTGTTTCTTCTTTTTCACCATTTTAAAGAGAGCACAGAAACAATTAAGTAAAAAAATTATATATATATATTCCTCAATGGAAAGAGAAAAGTGCAAACTGTGTAAAAAAGAAGAGTCAAAACAATGTAAACAGAAAATATGTACAAATGAAAACCATTGTAAGTAAAGATCTGCCCTGGCTTTTTTTTGCACCGTTTGATGAAAGCTGATGTGTTCCACTCATTGGGAGGAAGCATGTGAGGCCCATTAAAGATGCAAAGAACGGTCATCTCCTCGGCGTACTCTAGATTCTGCAGAAGCTTCAATTAAAAAAAATAGAAACACCATTAGAGTTAAGAACAAGAAAACTGTTTCACAGATTGCAGGTGATTAACAAGAAAGAAAAAAAAAAACACCAACCAACAGGTTTTTCAGAACCTGTTGTCATGCACAGATGTTTAGCTGTAATTAACACATATTAAGCAATTAAAAAAAATTAAAAAAAAAAGATCAGATAAATTAATTTGCATGCTTGGCTATTTTCACAAAAGCAGCTCAGTCACACAGGAAGTTGCACTGTAAATAAATGATGCAGTGATTGTCCCCTTTGTGGTGTTGAAGAAGTACTGAGAAGTTGTCTCTTTGCAGGTGGTGCGAACTACAATATCAAACACTCTCCTCTCATTTATGGGATCCATTCCCTAGGAAACAAAACATACACACAGACTCATCTAGTGGACCTTCTCTGGATGCATCTCTACCATTCCTTGTAATTCCATTTAACATAAGGCTGTAGTCTCTACTACTATATCTAGGCAATTAAAGCCTATCTAATCTAAAAGTCCTTAGTTAATTTGAAAGAGACCTGGTTGATCTCATCCACCACTCTGAATGGGCAGTGGTTAAGCTCTTGTAAGGCCATCAGATAAAGCATTGTGGAGACGCTCAGCTCGCCTCCGCTCTAATGATGCACCGTCAGCTCATGGAGCTGTGTGCTGCTGTCGAACTTCACACAAATGCGGATCCCATACTTGTCATATTCCTCCTGAAAGGAAAGCAGGAGATTAAATAGGTTTGTGTTCAAAATGCTAAAAAGTAATCAGAACAAATGTTTGCCACACATAAGTTTTTGGGAACTGAGAAGTGAAGAAAAAATTTACTCAAAGTTGCATAGGTTTACAAATAATGTTCTTAGTCACTCATCTTTGTCTATAGCTGCTGTTACCCTAGTGATGGCATTTACCTCATTCTGCGAGTGCAAATCCACCTCTCCTGCAATCTGCATGGGGCGGAAGAATTCACTGAATTTGTCATTTATCTGTTCCACCAGCAGCTTCAGAGGGTTCAGCCAGCGTTCCTTGACCTGAAGCACACATACGGATACAGAAACAAAATGTCTTCTGTTACAGACATTACAGCAAACACAGTTTCAGTAGAAAGGCTGCAATATCACAACGTACCTCAGATATATTCTGTCTGTAGGCATTCAAGGCTTCTGTCCTCAGTTTACATCATCTGTTATATTTTCACAAAGACCAGTGAAGCACTCAGCTCTGGAGCGTTCCTCATTCAGCATGACATCAACCTCATCCAGTGTGTCAGGCAGTTTGCTGAATGCCTGCAATGGCATAATGATTAATAAGACATTCTACAATAAAAGGCTTTCAGAGCAAATATTACAAAAACTCCAGCAGAAGACAAAGATGGAGGATGAGCACTAACATTACGCAGATCTTCTGATATCGCCTCATCTGGCTGCATCCGACAGTTTGACTTTGCCCTCTTCAACAGGCCCTTGCACTGCTCTGTCAGCTGAATCTTTCTCTTCTCCAGGTGGCTGCATCTTTGCTACAATGAAGAGTCGAGTTAAGGTTTAGGATCTGAGACCTCAGTATAAACAAGGCATCAATCCAACTGTGCTTTACAATTCTTTCTTCCATAGTTTTAAATTCAGAGGCGCCTTCCCTGCAGTCATTTTCAAGCTTAGCCTTCTCAACAGTCAACCCCGCCATCTCCAAAGCCAGGTACACCTTCTCCATTGTTAACTTTGCTTTCAGCCTCAGATGGTGGGAAGATGGAGGAAAGGTTAATGCACAAAAGAAAAATGCAGCACTGCACAGTGGTAGTGCAAATATATGGATTGTGAACTCGGACATAAGAAGCCTTAAGGGGCTTTATCTTTCTACAACCAAGAAATAGACAACAGCTTGGCAGAGGAATCAGATGAAATTCAGAATAGAATATTTACTTTGACTTGATCGACGATGACAACTTAAACATGACAACTGTTTAGCATCTTAACATCCACCTAACTTTTGACAGAAACTGCAGAGATTTTTGCTCCATCAGAGCACTTAAAGGCGTGACCGTCTTCTCAGGCTTTTGCAGATTAGGGCGATCTTCAGGTGAGAGCAGCTGTACTCTTCATGTTCAAGTGATGGAGTTGCTTCCTGACCGTGTGTGGAGGGGAAGATTCGGGTTCTTTATTCTACTGTCTCCACCTGCAGCGCAGCCAGCCTTATATATAGCAACTAGACAGAGAAACTGCGTCAGTGGCATTACCATTTAGAAGGAATAGAGTGATAATAAGCTCTGGGGAGAAACGACGGTGACCGAAACAGAGATTGAGTAAAGTCTCTTTGTGAAACGGAAAACTCAGAGTTTCCCAAAAATCAGGTTTAGAAAACTTAGGTTTTAATAAATCTGCTTTGAAAAATGGAACCCAGGTGTCATGAATAATGAAAACAAAGTAAAAGTCAGTCTGACTATAATTTCTGTTTTCGTATTTTGTTACCAATTCTTCAGGTTTATATATGATTACATGGGAGATACTCAGAGGTGCTCAACAACATCATCATCATTAAACAAAGGATGAAGGAAAGGTGACAAAAACAATGGGAAGAAGAAAGGAGAGGAAGATGGTTTTATAGGATTCAACGGGAAGTCTGAGAAATGAGGATAGCAGAAGGAAGCAGAAGAGTGGAAACAGTTATTTCAAGACTTAGATTTGGGCATCCAGGATAAAATAATACACTGTTCAAAATAGGGAAACATATATCAGGCAAATGTGAATTATGTGGACAAGACAAATTTTATCAATATCTATTTAAATATTTAATATTAAAATGACTAATTAGGACAATTTAGTATATTTATAGTAATAATAATATATAAGTAATATTATAGATAGAAATATATAGATAAATAAATTCAAGTATCTTTATGAATAGGGCCATTCTGATTCACACTCCACACCAGTAGGTGGCGGTAATGCTCACCTAACGTTTTTGCCAACCGCCATAAATCTTTGTAGAAGAAGAAGAAGTAGCATCTCCTGGTTTTCGAAGTTATGGCGGAGTCGAGTAAACGGCAGCGGATTAGCCGCATTCAGAACATTTTACAGAATGCTTCTCCAGTAGCTATTGGTTCCTTTGTGGAGGGCTCCATACGTCGCATCACAATGAAAAACTTCCTGTAAGTTGTGTTTCCTCCGCTTTCAACCTGCAACTGACTCTAACTGCTTTAGACAGAAACGTTGACCACAGAGCGAAACGGATGGCTGCCAAGCTAGCTGCTGTTTGACAACCGCTCCTTTCAGCTGAAATAAGCAGAGCAGGATCCCCAACCGACAAAAAAACTCCAGCAGTGATTAACGTGAGACGATACGCTGATTTTCAGACCTAAAGGCCAGAACACACCGGTCACGTATGACTTTTTAATCTCCGAGTCAGTTTTGGAGACTCGTGCAAAAACAATGAAGGAAACATTAGAAAAATAATGCTTTACGCATGATAGTTCAGGGGCGCAGAAAAAGTAGAAAATAATGAGGCTCTTTGAGACTCACAAAAACAAAATAACGAGGTGCAGACAGATCAAGTAAGACCGGTGTATGATGACCTCTTTATGAAAATAAAAAACAAAAACTTGACAGATCTCTCTGCCTCAGTCAGCATATAAACCGCCCAGACAGACTCAGTAAGTGGGGCTTTGCTTTGTAGAATGCGCCCTTTTTTATTTATTTTTCATTTACTGATCATAATAGCTTTAATTTGTGTAGCACAGAGACGGAAGTGAACAAAATCTGCCCAGATCTGCTCACACAGGAGAGCAACATAACATTGTGTTCAGGGACATGCAGTTTGCATCATCCTATCAGTTTATTTAACCACAGCTGGACTCCAATAAGGGAGCAGAACCATTTTAAGGAGGATCAGAAGAAATTGACAGCATGTGAGTTAAATATGAGTGCCAGAGCAAAGGGTCTGAATACTTATGACCGTTTGATATTTCAGTTTTTCTTTTTTTAACCTCTTACACCCTCAGGGGGTATAAATAAATTTCTGCCTGACAAAAACACACAAAAGTAAATAACTTATAGCCTCACAGCTATTAGATTTAAGAAGAAACTTTTGGTACCTCTGTAAAGGTAAGATGTCATAGAATGGTTTTCTGGTGTCAGCACCATTGTAGCTTTGACCCTGCCTGAAATATTAGGGACAAAATACAAAATTTTTTGCATTTTTTGAACCTCGCCAAAATTTTCTTTGAAATAAACATTGCAAAACACTACCAAAATATTATTTATAGCACAAAAAAGTAGTACAGACTTTTAAATCTAAATGTTGTGTAAAAATATACCAAATTTGGACTCAATCAGATGAATCATATTTATTTTAGAATGGTATTAGTGAGAAATTTCTTAGGCGGAGAGGCCATTTTGGCACATTTATCCAAAAATGTCACCAAACTGTGCCAAATGTGTTTTTTACATCAATACTGGGGTTTGTTAAAATTACGAGGTCACGTAGCAGCTGGACCCACCGGTGGGTCCGTAGGGTTCTAGGGGTTAATAAATTTGCAAAAATGTCTACCTTCTTTTGTCAAGATGGGTTGCTGAGTGCACATTAATGAGAGATAAAATAAACTTTATTGATTTTAGCAAATGACTGCAATGAAACAAAGAGTGAAAAATATAAAGACCTCTGAATACTTTCAAAGTCTTTCATGGCGCCCCAGATTCCTGGCGGCGGCCCTGTTCCCACTAAAGCAGATGTGTTTTACTGTGTGACCATGTCTCTCCTGTCAGACCCATGAAAATTTCGCTGATTTGCTGAGTAGTCTGACTAAAACAGACCTGGGGGATCAGTCAGAGGTACACAAGCTCACTAGCGTAAAATCGTGTCAGGTGTGATCATCCCCTTGACTTTCAATTTAGATAAACTTCTCATTTTTAATAAAAAGCAGAGTAAGGAGCACTTCAATGTGAAATATGGTGCTCTGATCGATTGAGACCAAAACTGAACTTTGTGGCCAACAATGCAGTAATACCAAGATGGCTTCTTTGGTGCACTGACATGTAGGGGTTAGTATTGGCATATGTGTTGCTGATCTTTTAGTGGTTTTGGTATCCATGTTGTTTGGGGTTTGAGTCGGTCCACGTCTTCCACTCTGACTGCCTCAACTCGCTGTTTTGCGCTGCACAGAAAAGGGCTACACAGCTCGATCTGCCAGAGTGGTGGTGAAGCGGTAGCCCATATTCCCTCATTGTTTTAGGTAAGAATGCTTTTGTTTTTATCGATACCAGAAACTGAACGCTTTTTTTCTTTTTTCTCTCTCCCCACACCTCTACTGACAGGACGTATGACTACTCTGAGGTGTATCCTGGTCCAAACCTGAACATGATTGTTGGAGCCAATGGAACTGGAAAGTCCAGCATCGTGTGTGCCATATGCCTGGTTCTGGCTGGAAAGACTGCAACACTGGGGAGAGGAGACAAGGTAAAAAACTGAAACCCTCAACCACAGCTTCATTTATGTGACATCATTCCAGTTCTTATTTCTCTCAGATCTATAAGTTAGAAAGCTGAGGTAAATGGTGCTGCTTTAGCATTGTGTGTATTTTTTTAACAATGTCAGGATATTTTACAAAAGGAATTATTTTCTGTAACAAAAACAAAAACCAGTCTAAACCCTCGCGGATTGGCCCTTTGAGGCCTCTGCCTCAGACTGCCGCCCAGTCCTCTTCGCAGCGGTCCCTCATGGTTCTCCCTGCACATGGCCCTCATGTATTCGGAGGCAGCCTCGCCACTGGATCCAAGGTGGAAAGGCTGCCACTGGGTTGGACTAAATCGGCCCCAAGTACCTTAGAGCTGGATGTTGTTGGGCTCTCATGGCTGACTGACCTCTTTAACATTGCATGGAGGTCCAGGACAGTGCCCCTCGATTGGCAGACTGGACTGGTGCCTCCTCTGCATAAGAAGGGGGACCAGAGGGTGTGTTCTACACTCCTCAGCCTCCTCAGTAAGGCCTAGGTCAGGGTGCTGGAGAGGAGAGTCTGGCTGATTGTCGAACCTTGGCTTCAAGAAGAGCCGTGTGCTTTTCCCCCTTGGCCATGGACCAGGTCTACAACCTCAGCATGGTTCCAAGGGGTTCCTGTGAATTTGCCAAACCGATCCACATGTGCTTTGTGGACCTGGAGAAGGCATTCAAAGGTGTCTCTCATGGTTCGCTGTGGGGAACTATCGGGTCTATTGTGGTAAAGAGCGAACTGAGTGAAATGGCAAAGTTCTCGAATAACTCGTCAGTCTACGTTCCTAACCTCACCTATGGTCATGAAATCTGAACTGTGGCCAGAGAACGAGGTCCCGTGGCTAAAATGAACTTTATTAGCAGGGGTGTATGGCTCTCCCTTAGACACGGGGTTAGGAGCTTGGTCCTTTGGGAGTGGCTTGGAGAAGAGCTGCTCGTCCTCCACATCAAAAGGAGACTCAGACATCTTTTTCAGATGCCCCCTGGATGCTTGCCTTGGGAGATGTTCCAGGGGACTAACCAGGACATGTTGGATGGGCTATGTGTCTCGGATGGCCTGGGAGATCTTGGTGCTTCCCCCACCAGAGCTGGAGGAGGTTTCTGTGGGAAGCCTGGGAGTCTCTGCTGAGACTGCTGCCCCTGTAACCTGGTCCCAGATGAAGTGGGAGGCGACGAGCACAGAAACTGGAATATTACAATATTAGTATTCAAATCACTCTAACATTTACTAATGGAAACTTACATGTTCTCCACAGAATCATCCTGATAACTTCCTAAGAAAAAGGAAAATACACACATTTGTTGAACAAAGTTACTAACATATGTTTTCATCTAGGTTGGGCTTTATGTGAAGCGTGGCTGCCAAAAAGGTTTTGTTGAGATAGAACTGTAAGTGATGAGAAACTAATATCAACCCCTTACTTTTACTCATACGCCACTGGTGTTGCATTTTATGAACATTTGTGTCAAAATTAGCAATAGTTTATGTGCCCAAATCTAAATTTGATGTTTTTTGAATTATGTATGAAGGAACAGAAATGCAGGAAACTTGGTGATTAGCAGAGAGATCCATGTAGAGAACAATCAGTCAATCTGGATGATAAATGGTGGAATGAGCAACCAGAAAAGGGTAGAAGAGGAGGTCAAAGCTCTGCAGATCCAAGTCAGCAACCTCTGCCAGTTTCTGCCTCAGGTATGTTGACATCATGTTTTAATAGATGGCTTTGCATATGCAAAGTGACAGATGGTACCTTACAAAGTATATGCCTTCCTGTTTACTCTACATGTTGTTATATTGCTACTTGAACATTAATGGATTTTTTGACATTGTGAGATAAGACTAAGTGAAAGCAAAATGATACTGTTTTAAATTTTTTTATAATCAAAGCCATCAAAAGTCTCCTTATTGGTAAATTCAGCTCTCCGCTGTGTATTTTATGCTACGTTCCGACCGCACGCAATTGAAGAAGCAGAACCAGCTGGTTTACATTAGGGGTGTAAATAATAATCATTTTGTATCGATCCATCGACTCAACAGCCGACGATCCAATGCATCGACAAGTCCGCCAGAGTAGCGACTCATGTTTTTTTTTCCCTCCAGTCTATTTTTATCCATTTGCTCCTGGGCGTAATTCTGACTCCCGTGCTGCGGTGGCGCTAAACCAATTTTGCCCTCCTACCCCGCGTCCTGGTTATACTCTTGCAGCAGTGTGTTGCAGTGAGCTTGACGCAGACATTTTTGATTTATGCTCAATATTGAAGCGTGGGTCTAGATACGGCTGAGGAAGTGGGGGCGAGTTTGTCCGACAACGGAGGGATACGACGATGAAAAATAGAGGGGATCAAGGTGGAAAAAGTTAAGGGTCCCAGTTTTCTTGCGCACCTCGCTCTTCTAGCTGGTCCAACTTCACGAGTTGTTTTCCGCAATTTCGGTCATAAAAACAAAACAAGCCGACCTCCTGTCTGCGGTACTGTCTGCGCTCAGTTACATTTTGGGAGAGGTACAGCGGAGGGGGCGGGGATGTTCTTCATATGTACAGACATACGTCCCTATTGTGTTGAGTAGAACGAAGGCTTCCGATACCTGTATTTTTAGATGCAAGGTCTATCAGAATCTATAAAGCAGGGGTATTATTACTTTTCAGTGAATGAGGTTTTAATAGGAATTGGTGGAATACAACTTTTCTACTTCTGTTATTTGCCGTTGTTTCTCAAATAAAATGCATAACAATATTACAGCTTTCATTGATTTATTTCAAATTTGAAACATTGTCTAGCCTGCAAGGTAAAAAAAAAAAAATAAACCAATTAATGGAATTGGATCGTATCGTGGTGTACTCTTGAGTATCCAAAATAATCGAATTTTTGGGTCAGGAAATCGATACTGAATCGAATCGCCATGATGGGTGTGATTTACACCCCTAGTTTACATGCAAAGTCAATGGTTACGTATCTGTACACACTTCACTGGATGTGCTTCAAGAGCATCAAAGATGCACTTGAGGCATGGGGAAATTTGTGTACAAGCATTAAAATTTAAGCAGCAGGTGCTTTTTTGTTCCTCAAACCGGTGTGAACGTAGCATTAATCTTGGTATAGATACAGTTGTTCTGTGCAGACCTCAAAGGTTTATGCCGTGTTTCAACTTATCTTGGCCTGGCTCTGCTCCAACCCACCACTATTCAAATATTTCTACTACTGCACTGGCTTTTCTTTTTGCTTAGTACAAGCAGAGTCAAGTTGGAAAATTGGTAAGATTCTTGGCAATCAGGGAACATAGCAGATGGGTCAGGATAAAGTTTTGGAGAAGTTTAAAGTAGGGTTCAGTTTTGACGTTTCAATATTAAAGCATTGAAAATTGCAAGAACAAAACAGATTTTTATGACCTCTGTGTAAAATGTATAAACTATACAGGTGGCAAAACATGGTGTTGGTAGGATAATGCTTTGGTTATGAGATCCTAAAAATCCAGCTAGAGCTAAAAAAAAACATGGTCCAGATTAAAGGACATTCATCAGTTAGAATGGCCTAGTTAAAGTCCAGAGCTAATTCTACTTGAATCAACAAAATCATTGAAGTTTCAGTTTACTAATCCACTCCACCCTACTTGGTTTTGCTTTTAGCTCTTTTCCATTAATTAAAAAACTTAAGTCTTAGATTTTACCCACAGAAAGAGACATGCCTCAGAATATTTGCTTTCTGGAATATTGGCTTAAAAGAGGGCCAGAATTTAAATAGATGACACGCTTTTCAACATATAATCTGTAAAAAATTTTGGAAAATATTCACAACTCGTTGCTACTATTTTATCCCATCAAATAAAATCCAGACAGATATTTATTTTATTTTTTTTTTTGGGATGCCTATTTTCTCCCCACCTTTTCACTGTTGCTTGATCCTCCATAGGAGAAAGTTGGAGAGTTTGCAAAGATGTCCAAAATTGAATTGCTGGAGGCAACTGAAAAGTCCGTCGGTCCTCCAGAAATGTACAACTATCACTGTGAGCTCAAAAACTTTCGCAACAAAGAACGAGAATTAGAGGTAAAAGAAATCAGTTGATGTTATGTGCCAAGTTTGATATGAGAAATGTTTCAATTATTTTTTAATTCCGAGATTTCTAACTTCTCAGATTATTTCTTTATGTAATGAATTATTCTGTAGAATGTTGTGAAGGAAAAGGCAAGCTTCCTTGAAAAAGCCAAGCAGAGGAATGAGAGGAACAAGCATGACGTGAATCGTTATTATGAAAAAAAAAGACATCTGGATGTGATCGAGTTGCTTGAAAAGAAGAAACCATGGGTGGTGAGTTCATGATGATATGATACACAATCCACAAGAGGGGAGCAGAAATAAAAGAGGAATCCTGTCATGAAATAACTTTATTCAACTCACTCTGGGACTAGGAATATGAGACCACCCGTAAGGAGCTGGAGGGGGTGAAAATGGAGCGAGAAGAGGCCAAAAAGCAGCTCTCTGCCCTCAGGCAGTCCCAGGCACCCATGTTAAAGAAGATCCAACAGATTGATGACAAGCTGAAGCCCACAGAGGCACAACTGAAATCTAAGGTGACAAATTCTGGATGTAACTGATGTATTCACTGTTGGCAATCCTTCAAAATGTACTTTTAACTAAAGTCTTGCCCTTTAAAGACATGCTATATTTTATGTCTGAATGATAAATCTTTACAAGATGATATTATGACTACAAAATAAATGAATATATTTTATGAATACCTGGGATGTCATAAATAACAGATTTTATTTTTTCATATTTAGAACCATCCATCTTCTACCTAAAAATATGCACTTTACTGTTGATAGTTTATAGTCTCTTTATCATTAAAATGTTGTTGTTTCCCAGACTGCAGCAATCAAAGAAACCTCTGTAAACTACAAAAGGAAACAGGACCATCTGGATCAGAAAAACAAAGAGGTATAACTGCTTATTCAAATTAAAAAGAAAAGTTTAACTGCCTGATCTTTAACAAGAAAATTAAAGGCAAGCATGAAGTAAAGTTTTGTGAGGCTGTTAAAAGCTTATCGGGAATAATGGCTCATTCTTCCCTTCAGATCGACGACATTAAGCAGAATCTGCGGCTGAAGCAGACTGAAGAAGAGGACCACCAGAAGCGGATCAGTAACACCAGACGAACCATCGAAGATTTGAAGTCGGAGCTGGCCAAAATCGCCGACCAGCCAGACGTAACGCCACAGATCAATGCTGTCAATGTGGAGCTGAGGCGTGTCCATGTGGAGCGAGCCAAGATTGAGGGAGATAAGACTGACCTGCGCAGGGAGAACGACAACATCACTGCTGAGTCCAAAAGTCAGATTTCAGTAACCGATCCATATTTCAGTCATAGGATTACAAAAAAATTTGTATATATCAGGGACATTGTTACTGCTTACAAAGAGTTTTTAACTTTTCTTTTGGACTATATTTAGTGTTGGAAAAGAAGCTGAAGGACATGAACAATATGATGAATGCCAAAGAAGAAAAGCTGCGAGGGCGCCACAGGGACACCCACACTGCCCTCCAGTGGCTAAGGAAGAACCGAGATTTATTTGAAGGAAATGTCTATGAGCCCATGATGCTGGTGGTGAGTCCCACACATAAAAGTGTAGAAAAAGTAGCTGAGCGATCGAAAGGAAAACAATAACGACCAATATAACCAATAATGTAAAGATAAATCACTAAACTGAGTAGTAGATCCAAATGTAGAGCTGCCACTAACAACTAATCTTAACGACTAATTTCCAAAAAAATCTCCACTTTTGGAGGTTGGCAGCTTAGCCACGGGATGGTGACAGCAAAATAAAAGTTACCTTCATACTGTGTCTGTGCGTGTGCTTATTTGATAAACCCTCTGTCTCAAGTCTGGTGCCGTTTCAAAAGCGTTGTTTAGCAAAACCTTACCAAATAGTCAAAGCGGCCGGCTTAACATCCAAAGACAGTCTGTCATCTTACTTCCCTAAGATTTATAAAAAAGCACATGCTAACTAGACATTTAAACAGTAATCATAATGTTACTATGATAATGTGATAAGCCAACAAAGACTTACAGTGTACGAACCACTCTATCACCAGCTACCCGAAAGTATTCCCATACTTTGGATACTTTTGGTCTTCTTGCAGATGCCTCTGTCATCCATTCAGACTCTACCTTTGCTGCCATTTTCGTATCACGCTCAAAACCAGAACCAAAAGTAATCTATGTTCTAACGTCATGCATCTTCATGAGTCTTTGGTGCACATTTTGTTTTAGCTAAACACATGCAAAAAAAAAGTAGTTTTTGAGGTTCACTCATGTCAGCTTCATTCCTGCAGCTCAATGTAAAAGATCCTCGCTATGCTAAGTATGTGGAGAACCACATCTCTTTCCATGACCTGCGGGCCTTCGTCTTCCAGAGGAAAGACGACATGGAGAAGTTCATGACTGAGGTCAGGATAGCTTTTCTGTCCGAACTGTGCCGGCTAAAACTTGTGTGACTGAGTTTATAAGCCAGTTTGCTGTGACCTCTTCACGCCCACAGGTCCGTGACAAGATGGACTTGAAGGTTAACTCCATCTGTGCTCCAGAAGAGTCGTGCTCTAAGCGGCAGCCATCCAAAAGCATTGAGTCGCTGAGGTGAGAGTTTTGAAAGCTTTAGAATATGAAAGTTTGGGCACCATTGCTTAGCGGTTGCTAAGTCGGAAATATTTTCATATAAACTGGTCTAGAGGCCTGGGTCTTCATGCACTTTGGTACACATACATCATCTGTCATTCCAATTAACCTTATATTATTATAGAGGCCTTTAGTGACACTTTTGAACTACCCTTGTCTCCAGTTGCTATGACTGTAAAATAAATTTACAATAATTTAGTCTACAAAAATAATAGAAAGTCTTAATTTATTCAGGATATATTCTCACCTGAAAAGGGTTCAGGCAAATTCACAGCCAAATATGTGAACGACATGTTCTGTCTCTTTGCTGGCTTTTTTTATTTTTTGTTAGCAGTTGTCTCAGAAGTGGGCACTGTGCACCTATTGAAATTGATAAAAACACCTTATGAAAGAGCTTGCTGTGGCGTAGTGTGGTGGGAGCTTCCACAGACTTAAACAGAATCTATGCTGACTTACAATGACTCACATTCTTTCATGAACTTTTAAGAAACAAAACTTTGGATACAGAGACTAGAATGTGCTGTAAACCATTTTTAAGATATTTTTGCCATTTCTTCCCAGTGATAACATCGTCTTTAGAGTAAAAAAAAAAAATGCAGGAAGAAATTGCTGTTACTGGTTTGGTGATAAGCTGCCTATCGACTGTTCAACGTCAGTTCGACTGAAGTTAACAGTTTAAATCATTGGATAAATTTGATGCAAAGAAGCCAGGAAATAAAAAAGTAAAGAATGACATAATGAAATGTATATGTAAATTTTATTTATTTTTAAAAATGACTTATTTAATGTGATTTTATTAAATCTATTTAAATAATTAATGGCATATTTTATTTATTTTTACATTTCACGATTTAATAATAAATGTAAGTATTTTTATTTAATAAAGGCTTAAATTTCATTATTTCATGATACGTTTATTTAATGCTGTTCTATCCATTTAATTTTGTCCTCCTAACCCCTCATAGTTGATGGTGTGATGTTTTACTTCAGATTGGCAAGTTAGATTTATTCAAGTTTCACATTTTCTGCATATATTTGACCCTTTATTTGTAATGTGCATGCCTAAAGCAATCATTTGAATAGGAATTTATGGATTCATTAAGGTTATCGTTGTTATTTAACTGATCAAATAACAGCTTAATATACAGATTCAAAACTATTCAACCTGCTGAAAGAATAACCACTCAGAGCAGGGAGATTAATGTATATACATTCTAATCTCATTAAATACTTACTATCTGATTATTAATTGGTAGATCTGAGAAAAAAAAAAAGTTATGGTTAAGTGATAAGCAAAATAATCATGCAGCCTTTCTAATTTAAAACTTAAGTGCAATAATTTGTTTCTAAAATGCTTGCAGACGTTTTGGCTTCTACACATACCTCCGTGAGATGTTTGACGCTCCTGAAGAGGTGATGAGTTACCTTTGTTTCCAGTACAAGGTGCACGATGTGCCAGTGGGCAATGATCAGACCAAAGCGATCATCAAAACGGTATGTTCCTGTTTTTATTTTCATCTGACTTGTTTCAAGATTCATTTTAAGAAACTTGGGAAATAATTGATTTTCAACATGGAATTTTAAATATGTTGTACTTCTCTGTATTTGTGCTGAATTTCTCCACAAGTAGTAATGTAATATTTTGTGTTTTGTCTCCTGATTAGAGGTTTGTTTTTATTCCTAATAACACATCAATCTTTCCGATATCCACTCAGGTGATTGAGGAGCCCTACCTGAAGGTGTTATTCACAACAGATGAGAGATACACTGTCAAAACGTCCATCTATTCCAAGAAAATAAGCACCAGCAACTCTGCCGTGCACCCCTCTCAGTACCTTTCAATAACTGTGGATGCTGTACAGAAACAGCAGGTGGAACAGCAGATGAAGGCAAGAATATCAAAATGATCTGCCAGCAATTCCCTAAACCCTTCATTTAGCTCTAATGTCTTGTGAAGCGTCCACATGTCAAAAATTTGGGTCCGTTACCCAGGAATTGTTCTAGAGTTAATGTGTTTATCTCTGTTACAATTAGACCTGTGCTTCAAGATCACGTGAGATTGACGAGCAGATGAAAGCCCTGCAGAAGGAGGCTGCTGCTCTGGATCGCAAAGAAAATGAACTGTTGTCAGAAAAGAAACGACTTTCTGAGCTTAAAGGGAAGAAGAGACAACTGGAACAGAAAATCAGCACCAAACAGGACAGGTAGGCCTGTCTCTGAAGGTTATAAAGTTTCCATTTTTTAAATCTCTTTCAAATTGCATAGCTTTGTCAAATCCAGGATTAAGGAGATCTAACCCCCTGAACATTTTTAGTCTGAAGCAGATGGAGCAGAGTGTTATTGACCTGAAGAAAGTTGAAGAGGTAACTAATAAAAAAATTAAGGCCGCCAATCTACAGAAAGTGACCATAGTTGCAGCAATCGTCGATCAAGTCAAGGTATGAAATATTCTTTTCTGAATTTCAACTAATTCCTCTACCAAGCTGTTGTCTATTTCTTGGTTGTAGAAAGATAAAGCCCCTTAAGGCTTCTTATGTCTGAGTTCACAATCCATATATTTGCACTACCACTGTGCAGCGCTACATTTTTCTTTTGTGCATTAACCTTTCCTCCATCTTCCCACCATCTGTAGCTGAAAGCAAAGTTAACAATGGAGAAGGTGTACCTGGCCTTGGAGATGGCGGGGTTGACTGCGGAGAAGGCTAAGCTTGAAAATGACTGCAGGGAAGGCGCCTCTGAATTTAAAACTATGGAAGTAAGAATTGTAAAGCACAGTTGGATTGATGCCTTGTTTATACTGAGGTCTCAGATCCTAAACCTTAACTCAACTCTTCATTGTAGCAAAGATGCAGCCGCCTGGAGCAGAGAAAGATTCAGCTGACAGAGCAGTGCAAGGGCCTGTTGAAGAGGGCAAAGTCAAACTGTCGGATGCAGCCAGATGAGGCGATATCAGAAGATCTGCGTAATGTTAGTGCTCATCCTCCATCTTTGTCTTCTGCTGGAGTTTTTGTAATATTTGCTCTGAAAGCTTTTTATTGTTGAATGTCTTATTAATCATTATGTCATTGCAGGCGTTCAGTAAACTGCCTGACACACTGGATGAGGTTGATGTCATGCTGAATGAGGAACGCTCCAGAGCTGAGTGCTTCACTGGTCTTAGTGAAAATGTAAGAGCTGATGAAAACTGGCAGAGGGTCAGGAATCAGTTTAATTTAGATTCTAGTAAGAAAACATTAGGTTAAAAAAAATAACAAAACTAAAATATCACTATTTACAGATGCCTAAGCTTATTTTCTGATTATTTGTGATTATAAATGTTGTAGTGTACATATTTGAATTGTTTGATCCTGCTTTGAAGGTTGTTGAAGAGTACAATAAGAGAGAGCAGGAGATCAAAGTTCTTGAGAAAGAGCTTCAAATAAAGACAGATGCCTTGAATGCCTACAGACAGAATATATCTGAGGTACGTTGTGATATTGCAGCCTTTCTACTGAAACTGTGTTTGCTGTAATGTCTGTAACAGAAGACATTTTGTGTTTCTGTATCCGTATGTGTGCTTCAGGTCAAGGAACGCTGGCTGAACCCTCTGAAGCTGCTGGTTGAACAGATAAATGACAAATTCAGTGAATTCTTCCGCTCCATGCAGTGCGCAGGAGAGGTGGATTTGCACTCGGAGAATGAGGTAAATGATCACTAGGGTAACAGCAGCTATAGACAAAGATTAGAACCAGTGACTAAGAACTTTATCTGTACAGCTATGCAACTTTGAGTCAAATATTTAAATCAATTACTTAAAAAATATTCTAACCGTATAGAAAACTATCTGCATTTTTTCTTACACTTCTCACTTCCCAAAATCTTCTGTGTGGCAAACATTTGTTCTGACGACCTTTTAGCATTTTGAATAAACACTAACCTATTTAATCTCCTGTGTTCCTTTCAGGAGGAATATGACAAGTATGGGATCCGCATTCGTGTGAAGTTCCACAGCAGCACACAGCTCCATGAGCTGACGGCTCACCATCAGAGCGGAGGCGAGCGGAGCGTCTCCACTATGCTTTATCTGATGGCCTTACAAGAGCTTAACCGCTGCCCATTCAGAGTGGTGGATGAGATCAACCAGGTCTCTTTCAAATTTACTTTTTTTCTGTTTAGATAGGCTTTATTTGCCTACATGTAGTAGTAGAGACTGCTGCCTTATGTTAAATGGAACTACAAGAAATGGTAGAGATGCATCCAGAGAAGGTCCACTGGATGAGTCTGTGTGTACGTTTTGTTTCCTAGGGAATGGATCCCATAAATGAGAGGAGAGTGTTTGATATTGTAGTCCGCACCGCCTGCAAAGAGACAACTTCTCAGTACTTCTTCATTACCCCAAAGGTAAGTGTCGCTCCCGAAGGTCCCTGTCACAGCTTGCCAATTTAGCCAACGTATGTCTGACGTCCCAGAATCTCATAAAACACTGGCATACTCTGAACTTTCTATGTATTTTTTCAAATTTGGAGGTATACACAGCGCATTAATAACGAGTCCAGTGCGTATGTCCAACGACAGCCTTAACTTATGCGTAGTGCATGGCAGCGTAATGCCCATGAAATGATGCACAAGCCAGTGACCTGAAGGGGACAGGGATGCGCCCAGAAGCGCCCAACCTGCTTAAAAGATTTCTTTGATTGCAGGTTTAACCTAGCTGCTGTTTTACTGCCCGCCCGAAAAAAAAAAAGAAAAGAAATAAATAATGTTTGTAGTCACAGCAGATTCAGCGTCATGTCTGCTAGGAGGTTTGTTGGTCATGGGTGTGAACACAGTGAGGATCCATCACACTCACTCTTACTTACACGTAACGTACGTCAATGATCAGAAAACTTACCTGTAACTTATGCCCTACGTATGGCATATGCTGGCATGCGTCGAGAAATTTTGAGCATGCTCAAACTTATCCAACGTATGCCAGCATTTTTGCCAGATTTTTCTTATGTAAGGCATACGCTGTCTATGCTGATCTTTTTCTTTTTTTAACTTGCAACTAAACATCTGTGCATGACAACAGGTTCCGAAAACCTGTTGGTTGGTGTTTTTTTGTTTTGTTTTTTGTAACAACCTGCAATCTGTGAGGCCAATTCTTATTCTTAATTCTAATGTTTCTTTTTTATTGAAGCTTCTACAGAATCTAGAGTACGCCGAGGAGATGACCATTCTCTGCATCCATAATGGGCCTCACATGCTTCCTCCCAATGAGTGGAACACGTCAGCTTTCATCAAACGGCGCCTCAAACAAAAAAACCATGGCGGAAACCCATGAAAAAATGTCTTTACTGACAATAGTTTTCAGTTGTACATGCCTATTTCCTGGTCATGTTTTTGACTTTCCTTGTTTACATTTTTTGTCTTTTCTTTTCTACACTGTTTGCACTTTTCACTTTTCATGCAGGCATGTTTATCATTTTAAATGAAGCACAAATATTGGAAGTTGTGGTAATGTGGCCAAACGGATTAAATTCTTTTTAAAAGCACTTTACGGTTTCTCTGCCCTTTTAAAATGGTGGAACAAAAAAAAAAACAAAGTTGCAAAACCATTTCTTTAAGTTCAGTGTTTGTTTTTTGCTCTGTTCAATGAAGACAGGGAGGTTGTAATATCAGGCCTTCATGTTTAGCGGCAGTTGTAGACGGTAGTTCTTGACGTCTCATCCTGAAATTATTTTAATGTTCTAATAGTTCAACACATCTTCAGCTTCTCTGGGTTGATAAACCTGTGGAGGAAAACATTCACGGGTTCAAATTGTATTACTTTCGCTATATTAATGAATTTGCTTACCCATGTAAACAATTGGAATTAAGTGTTCCAATCACTTCCATAAAGCACCCATATATGATTCCTGCTTGAAAAAAAAGGTTTGAGTACCAGTACCTGTAGAAAGTACCAAACTTTCTACAGAGTCAATAGCTAAACTTCCTGTTGTGATAATCTGTGCTTCTCCAAGTCGAAGAGCCAGTGTTTGGATGGTACAAGGAAAACAGTACTTGTCTGACAAGTTCCAGCAAAAGGAACTCTTGAACGTACCAACAGGAGGATAATTTAGGATAATTGGATGCTCCCAGCTTTGTGGGATCAGTTTGGAGATCACCTTTTTCCTAACGTGACTATACCCCTTAAATCTGCCAGTATTGGACCAATGTCACATTGAATCCAAGGGATTCAGAATGAAATGCCACTTAAGAATTCATATGCTAGCCAAGCCTTGGCTAAAAACTTTTTCAATATAGAGAAATATCAGCACCATGAACACCTTTGTTTATAAACCCAACGGATTTCTGGCGACCCGTTCAAAGCTTGTACAACTAATAACTCAGAATGCTTGAAAATTACAACAGTAACAGTTTTACCAATATAGACATGTTGGACCTCATTGGAAAGCTTAGATTCTTCACATTTCAAGCAAGTCATTCAGGCTTTGGATATTTTACCATTTATAAAGTGGCTGAGGATCTTTGTCAGATAAACTCAATTTTATTAGGAGGAAAAGCTCTATAAATAAACATAGTTTGGTAGATCCATTTACCAGAAGATGTTAAAGTTGCTGTGCTTAGCTAACTTTATTAAAAAAGTACCAGTGCTTTCACATGTGCTTGGGGGTGTTTAAATATTGAATGGTTCTCACTACCTTTATGGAAAGCCCAGCAGCTTGGTTTAAACCAAAGTACAACCTAATGGCGTCCCTAGATCTAAGATTTTTCTCATCGTTAAGACCAAGAATGGTCCTAACAGAATAGAGGCCACTAAATGGGAAAGAACAAAGTGAAATATTCAAAACAAAAAAGCTAGGAAGGATGGACATGACTAAATGTGGAATTATAAACTGTTTCTCACGGTGTTCTAGCCTTTATCCAGGACTTAACCAGACCCGAAAAATACAGTAGGGGTGAGAGAAAAACTTCAATCCACATTCTTCCAAACATTTAATCTATAGTAACACCATCCAGGTCTCCTCGCTTCTTCTCGGCTGTGGTTAGATCAGAATCGCCTCTATACTCATTGTCCACGGTGAGGCCTTAAGCAAAGCTCTGGCTCAACCAGAACTAGTATATCTGATCAATTCATCACTTCTGACCACAGCACGAAGCGTGGAGGCCCTTAGTGTTTTTTTTTCTCGCCGGCTGCTCACTGCCACGGGGGGCTGCAGAGCGCTTTTCCTATCATTTCCGACCGGAGCAGAGCCAAACTCAGGTCGGATCAAATAAGATCACTGTGTAGGTTTTAACAGAAAATACAGAAGAACAAACAGACAGACGCTCCACATTCACTCACACAAACGTTCTCCATTCACACTCTGAGGACTACGCTTCCGCTTCCGGTTTATAAATGGATGGCCGCCTGGAATTATGGGATATATGTAACTAATAGGAGGACATCGCCCTCTCGTGGTCAGTAAGAAAAATGACTTTATTTAATTTCGTTGAGTAAATTTCTTTGAGAATAAAAAAAAGTCAGAAATCTGGGAAAAAAAGGTAAATTCTGACACCCCCCCCAAATTAAACTAAACTAAAATAAAATAACAAGTTAAGTTGTTTTTTTTATTTTTTTCACTGGCTCTCTTCCGTAAACAAAAACATGGGAAACTTTAAAAAAAAAAATCGGTGATATATGAATGAAAAAGAAGCATATGCGATATGAAAAAATGTAGGATAAAGAAAGAAGATGAGAAAATGTGTGCAAACAAAAATTCTCGAAAAAAGCATCAGTGTACCAGTAAATACTAAATATAATACAAACATTTGGCTAAATGTCATACATGTTAAGATGATGGATTCATTGATTTAGTCTTATGTAATAGGAAAATAGTTCTGACTAAATGCCAAGATTAATTATATCTACTGAATTATCTTTGTCTTATCAGTACTTACAGTTCAGTTAAAATAAACAAAAAAAAACAAAAAAAACATGATACAGCTTTAATACAGAAAACACCAAGTCTTGGATTTGCAAAAGCATAGCCACATTTGAGAGGATATGTTCATCTTTAACTTGGTGTGAGGAATTAATGGGGAGGATAATTTACCAAGTCCCAAACCCACATTTGGCAGAGAGCTGAGGCTGTTCTATGGGAGATGAGTCAACTAATAGCCTAACCCCACATTAGTTTTAAGCTGTATTTGCGTCTGTGGTAATTAACCTATCTAGCATCCTGAGCCCTGTTGGGGGTTGTGAGGTAATCTTGAATGGCGTAATAAGATTTCAACGTCTACTAGCAGCAATTGCTTCCTGCAGCACACCAAACCTTTGGGTCTCTCACCAACAACATGTTGACCTTGAATGGAGGAAAGAAACAGATCAGAGTTCCTGACTGAGTGAGGACGTGGTTTTCCCTTTAACCATGGATTGAACCTGAAACAGTGACAGGGATAGAAAAGCAGTGGAGCTCCATCATCCTGCCATGGATGGATCAGGAGTTAAAAAAGTAAGTTGTTGCTGGTTATGTTCTAAGATCATAGCAGGAATCAGGGTCAGTGTTTGCTCTAGATGTGTTCTTCCTGATGTTTTGCTGATGTTCTGATATTCCTTTGCTTAGTACAGTGTGTGCTTCTTTTTTAAATCAATATCTAACTAGATTAAGTGTGTTTGGCCCTCATAGTAATCTAAATATTCTCTTGCTTTTATTTGTTGTACTGCAATATTATACCAGTAATCAAGCTTAAAAAATAGTGCTACTGTACAGTTATATATTCATAATATATTTATAATGATTGTATAATGAGGTTGTCTGGATGGTATTGTAACTACACACCTGTAAGCATGTTGTAAAATTTCTGTTTTCCATACATCCAAAGAAGCAAATGCATTAGATTTTGCCTCCAAAAGAAACACCTCCCTGCCACACGCCTGTCTCATGATCCATAACCTATATAGTCTGCTACTGTATCAGGTTTTGACTAAACTAGATTGTCAGCTTGCACCAGAACAATGTTTCCTGTCTTCACAAGATGTAAATCAGATGGAGTAGATTTTCTTTACCACTCCATGTCAGTCCTGCAGGTTTGGACTGGAACAGTGACTTCTATCAGATCAGACACCTGACACGTTATCTCTCAGCTCAGCTTTCCTGCAGCGTTCCCTGGGGAGAAACAAGATAGGGAGGGTTACTGTGTGTGTCCCCGACAAAAAAGTGAAAGGCACAATCCCTGGAGACAAAAAGCCAGAGGATTATTATGCTCAGCAACGTGGCAGTTTTCCACAGAAACTTTTTCGACAGAGAAACCAATCGGCTGCTCTGACTTTGAAACTGGCTGCTCAGACAGTAAGTACCATCTGCTGCCTCCTCGGTGTGATCCTTTTCCTTCAGGTTATCTGATTTCAGTGCGTGTGCTTGGGGGTCACTGCCTGATTGTGCAGCAGAGGCTTTTATTTTGCATGCTGTTTTGTTTGGACTGCAAAACATGAGAGCTATATCAACTATATTCCTGCTGTGGGTGAAGGCAGTCGGCTCAATGCGACATCCGTCTCTGATGAAGGCTGTGATGTAACCTCTGTAAACAAGGCTGACCTGCTTAAGCAGCACGCCAGGAACTGTCTTTTTTAGCCTTTATCTAATTACACCTTTTATCCAAGAAGATGCTCAAAATAGATGATTAAAAAAAAAACATTCTGGTTCATCAGGGACGCACTTTATTCATTGTCAGAATGTAAAATCATTTTTGAAATATTACTAACCAGTTTTGTTTCCTTTTTTTTCTCTTATTTGAATTCCACAGAAACCAGGATATGGAAATCACAAAAGAGGTATCACAGAGCACATGCATGAACAGTGGGGCAACAGAATATGGTCAAAGGGCCAAGCAGGAAAAACTCAAAGAAGAGGAGAAGGAGAGAAAAATGCATTTGCATGAATACACAATTGACTAAATTAATAACAAAAAATCTATCCTGATCCATACTTTTTAAAAGAAATATATAAAACATATAATTGATATAAGAGTGCTCCCTTTGGCTTTGTTAGGGGGGATTGATTTATTATGGGGGTAAAGATTGGACTGATTAAACTTACTTTTCAATCAATGAGACTCTATAAACTTTAGATTGGCCAAAAACAGATTTTTTTTTTTTTTAACAAGCAATATTTTTTTCTAGAACTGGTTAAAAATTGACTTGAAAACTTTGTAGATTTCCAAGCCCTCAATTCAATTCTTAGAAACACACCGTAAGTATATTTTTATACATTCTCTGAACTTTTCCTCAGAGATGCCTGTCGGACCTTTGCCTCTGGCTCATAATTCAGCAACAGACGGCAGCGTTTCCGAAATCATTCAGCTCAGAAAAATCAACGGCTCCTCCTCAGAGACACCAAGCTACCAGCACCTCCACAGGGAGCTGCTTCTCAGCCACAAGCGGTACGTCAGGTATAACCACATGCAGTAGTAGCCAAGGGTGGTACTATAAATCGTCTCTGATTATCCTCTTCTGGTGAAATAAATGCAGAATTTATGTAGGACTGTCAGCAGAGCAGTTCTCTTTAACAAGTGTACCACTGCTGCATTTGTTAACCAGTAAATTCATGTTTCTTATTTAGGCACTCATACCAGAACTCATACCATCCCACCAGTTTGGGAATACTTCAGGCCACCCCATGATTAAAGACTCGCTGCATTGTTGTGTCAGTGTGGTTGACTGTCTTCTATGGTTTAGTTTTTGAATGAGACCTATGTATGTTTGTGACTGCTCAGAGGCCTGCTGCTGGAGGAGAAACCAGAGCTGAAGCGGGTTCTGGAGCAGCGCAGACTAGAGCTTCACAAGGAGGAGGAAATGGCACAACGACGGCCCTCTGATCTGGAGACGGAGCTCCGCAAGAGGCAGCAGAAGCTGCAGGAGGTCAGGAACACATAAACAGCTGAAAGATGATTCACTACACCATTTATCTTCACAGTGCCTGACTGAATAGATGCATGTTATATTTCACCATCTGTTTCTTCACCATATAACAGATTATACAAAAAGAAGAATTAATATTGAGGTGGGAAAAGAGGCCTAGGGATTTTTCAAAGATTTTCCCAATCAAGCATTTTAACTCAGCATGATAACGTCTGATACCCCTACAGTAAATAATATCCAGTGCTGCCAACTGATTGCTTATGAATAAATAAAACAGCCACTATTCAATACATTAACCAAAAGTGGAAAATTAACAACTGCAAAAATACCATGATGATTGCTCTGTCAATCTAAATTGAAAGGCAAACACTAGACATCCCCCTAAACACACCACCCACATGTTGAACCACAGTGGCGGCAGCATCATGGTTGGAGGACCTGAGGAAGGGTGGAGCTTCAGTTTAAAGCAGGACTGCAACTAGAACCATTTAGAAGAAAGAATATTCATGTGTTAGAATCTCTATGTAGTTTGGCACATTTTGAAATGTTTTAACAAAGAAGAATGAACCAAAAAAGTGACATCTCCAATGTCCAGGGCTGACAATCATACCTAGAAAGAGTTACAGCTGTCCTTACAGGATATAATTACATAGATATATTTGACAAACTGAATTATTTTCCTTTCGCTCCGCAACGATCCTCTACCTTGTGTTGGTCTGTCCAATCTAATCCAAAGAAAACGCTTTACAATTTTGCTATTTTTCATTCAAATTGGTAAACATTCCTTTTCCTTTTTTCTGTGTTTCCAATTCAATTATTGTTCTTTTTTTTCCACAGTACGAGCAGGAGGAGATAAGGCAACGGGAAAACCAAAAGAAAATCCCGGAGTTTGTCCGTGTCAGAGAAAACCTGAGGCGCACACAGACGTTTGAACAGCCCTAAACTGCTGCCATCAGCCAGTGCAGCCTCTCACCACTGTGGCCCTAAAAACACTGCCTACTCAGCGATAATTACAAAAACACCAGGCTAATCCAGCATTTGATAATCCTTTGTTCATTTCAATTTGGACTTTATGTGTAGAGACTAAAGTTTTGCCATTATAAAAAAAAAAAAAACTTCTACTGTATGAACTCAATGGTTTTGTTTCTGGTGAGGGATTTAAAAGTTTTTTTGTTTGTTTTGTTTTTTGTTTTGTTTTTTCTACTAAAAATCCTGTATTACTATTGGCTGAGTGAAAACAACAATGTTCTGATGCCGAATATTTTTTTAATGTTTTTTTTATGCCTCTTCCACTATCTTTTTTTTCTGTTTCAGTTTTAAATTATCATATTTATGTCAGTTTCTTTACATTGCAAGTACTAACAAACATTTTTAAAAGCACTGTTTTCTACTAGTAAGACTCCCCTCAGCATTACAAAAATACATGTTGGTTTACCTGTTTCTGTCACGACTTTTGGTTTGTAGTTTATCTGTGTGTGTGTGCTGTGGAAATAAAAGGTTTCATGGTTTGGACTGATCTGTCTCTATATCAGAGCCATTCAAAGCGAAGGGGGATTGATTTGCAGGCAGCTCCTGTCCCTGAGGACTCTCACAGTGCTTTCACAGGCATGTGGGACTTGGTTTAATTAGCTAATCTTTTCATTCCATCGTGGGTCGAGAGGAGAAAGGACAAGCCATCTGCTGGAGGCTTTAAGGTTTGAATAAGCCAGGAATGCCCAAGGGTCTGGTTAAGGCACTGAAGACATTCTGGATAGTCATAGAAACCTCCAGCTGTGGGTTGAATTTGTTTTTTAGCTATTTTTTTTATATATTAGTAGCAAAATCAGGACACGTATAATATCTGATGATTGTGACTATATTCACAGTAATCTAAATTACTTTGAATATCATAATTAGGAAGTTGATGCTGTTATATTTGATTGAATCTGATATTTCTAACATTAAATATAAAAGTTATAACTTTATACCTCAAAATTCTGACTGAATGTGGAAATCATGACTTTAAATCTAATAATTCTCACTTTAAAAGTCAAAGGTTAATTTGAATTTTGACTGAAAGTCAAAATCACAGTTTTAAAACTCAAAGTGATGAAATTCTGTTGTTCTTATTTTTTCTTTAAAAGGCCAAAAATCAGCTTGTATAATTTCCATTGAACAAAAGACATCGGCCTTTATAGGCGAATAGATATCTGGTGTTATGACCAATTATGAATTAACCTGGAAATATTTCTGAATGTAAAAAAGCAGAATAATAAATAATATAGAATATAAAAGCTTATATTTATTTACAGGCATTCATTTCATAGCTTGTAACCATAACATTTAATAAAATTCACATATTAATGATTCTAGCATTCTATCTGAAATAATAATATGCTCTACTAAGGATATTTTGAAAAATGAATCTCAACTTGTGTTTATGATTTATTACTGACCCTTGTTGCATTCAACTAAAAAGTCATATTTAGTTGATTGTGAGACTTTTCTGTAACTTGATAATGATCATGTTTTTGTTGGGATGTTTAATAAAGATGATTTGAGTGCTTAAAGAAATGATATTGGTCCAGTTGGAGCTTATCTACCCTGAGTTCACTTATACTTTCATTACTCTTAGTATTGATTTGCAGGAACATGCTGCTCCTACTGACCAAGGGTCAATTGACAACATTTAACTTTTGGGTGCATTTGTTAATTACACCCCAAAGCATCGGAAGTCATTGCCTGATGGCCTGAAGTGAACAGTTTCATGCTGTAGAAATAAAATAAAAACATCCTAATAACTTTAATTATTTTCTTAGATTTTCATTTCTGAATTTTACATATGTCAAGAAACGTTTTCTGTTTTTGTTTTTTTTAACTCCTTTTTTTTGGGTAATGTGATTTTTCTTTATAATTACATCATTTATATATTCGAGTTGAGCAATTTAGGCTGCGGTGTTTAATAATTTCCTTAACTCACTACCAAGCTGTTGGTTTTTTGGTTAAAAAAAAAATCAGTAAAAAAGAACTGTGTCTACCTAAGCTCAGCCAAACTACTGTTTTTTTGTGCCTCTTTTCAAATTAAAAGCCCCCCTCCCTCTCTTTCACTGGCGCGTGCCTGGGAAGTTACCAGAGCTGGACGAAACCATTTCAACCGGGGGGTAGGTTATAGTGAGTAAGAAAAACTAAATATTATATATAGATGATTCCAAACCCAGACATTTTAATTAAGTACAAAAAATAGAGGTAAGTGAAGCAGTAAGCTAGGATCTGATATCTGAAATTATGATATTGTCACTGTTATTATCAATTGCTCCCATCTGAGAAAAATGGATTGGACCTGAACAAATGGTCCCAGGCTCTTCTCACATCTGACCGGAGAAAGTATCAAAAACTGCATCGGCCCCTAAAGAGATGCTGTAGCTGAGAGCAACACAAACCGCCAGGTATGTTTAAACTATTTTCTTTGGTTAAAAAACAAAATGCAACGGGCCCATGAACGGGAAACCATCAAAATAATTCATACAAAGGTCAAAGTTTTAGATTGTTAAAAGTCTGTTATTATTAGAAAAATCAACATTTTTATTAAGAAAGCCGTATTAGAAGTTTATGATATGGTTTAAAAACATGTTATGTCTTAGAAAACAACTTGCATAGAGGACTGAAGTACTTGTGTTTGAATAATTTGTAATGCGTGAATTTAACTAAATTAGGCTAACAGCAGTCATGGGGAAGTTATTTTTCACATTTTGTACCCATTTATAAATCCAAATTTAGGTTAAGATTTTATTTAAATCGGTAAAATTCATCCTCCTGGTATATAAACGCCTTGGATCTATAGTTTACAACAGATGTATGTTTATCTGCTTTTATTTTACATCTATATGTTGAACGTTGCAGCACTTTCTTTGCTGCTAAGTTAGAAAAACATCATATTTCACTGTGACTTTATAGAAAAGAGCGACCATGAAACTATTCAGACAAAATATATGAAACTGTGCATAAAGATGTTTTGATATACAGCAGAGGAATGATTGTCCTGTTTTGTTTTCTATACAAGATTAAGGAAGCAACTATATGAGGTGCTGTTACCAAATTATTTCTCATAATATTTTGTATTTCATATTTGTTTTATCCAATATGTATGTGAGCTTTTTGATTATCTGCTGGATACATCTGGATGTTTTTACTTTAAGCATTGAGTGGAGCAACAGGATGGTTTGTTTTTTTTGCAGTTTTCCTCTTCAGCAGCAGAATAAACAAAATCTCCACCAATCCACATATTAGCAGACAGGAAAAGTTACTGAGGTGTCGGGGACAACACCTCTGTGCTGTTGTTGTTACCTCTGGAGTCTTCTACCTCTCTTGTCTTTTTGTGACTGTGATGAGTTGTAACTCCATCCAGCCGATGAACTAAACTAAACCCAGCCGGCAGAAATGACACCATCCTAAAAGGGACGAGTGGTTCGATCCACAGCAGGGCCCTCCGCCTCTGGAGAACAATGAAGTCAGTCTTTTATTGGTCCTTGTCATTGAGCTGTGACAGAGGTCTGGAGAGCATATGGCCTTCAGTGGCTGGGAGGAGGCTGGCATGATGCTTAATTATTACTGCTGCTGGCTGCTCACAGCAACACTTTGCCAACTCTCTTGTCCTTTTTTGCCTTTTTGTTGCATTTCTAATCTGTATCTTTGCAAACTGCTCTCTTTTTTGCGATTTCTTCTTCTCTGCTGCTCATTCACATCGGTGCACTTCTCTCTTTCAGTAGCCCACACTCTGATCCCCTTTTTGCTGAATGGATTTTGGCTTTCCGTCAGACTGAAATAAAAATGCAAGCTGTAAAGTCGTTTGGGTTTTCTCGCATAGTATCAGCATTCAGCAGGAAAATCTTAATGATAGGGTTCCAACAGGGCCTGGATCGGGTTTCATGTGAGCCTCGCTGTTTCCTCTGCGAGTCTGGTCCCCGTTGGTAATTCCAGGCCCGACCACAGTGGTAATGAGCAGAGTGGTGGCTGCAATCCAGCGGTCCGCAGCTCCAAGGGGCTCATGGGAATGGGCGGTGTGGGAAGTCTAGCAGACAGTAAATACGCATCATGATGTCTTGTCATAAACATTAACTTCCGTAGATGTTACTCCATACTGAATCAGTAAGAATGGGTGTTGCTTTCATCCTCTCTCATGTTTATAGATACTCATCATTAGCGATGATGGCTCTCTCCCACCAATTAAGATGTTTGGGAGTCCATCAGTCGGCGCTGGAGGGTGGAGACGGTCCTATCACCAGCAGTTCCCACAAGACCCAGATTGTTGTTTTTTTAATGGTTTTTGGCTCTAACCCCAGAATAATCTCAGCACTCCCCCAGTTTCAGGTTCTTATGCACTCTATGACAAATCAGAATCAGCATTTTTTGGCAATAAGCGGCATTTGAGCAAGAGTTCAACCCCAAACCCATCCACCCACCCACTCAGCCCAGACCCTCCAACCACAAACTCTTGTGAAACTCTTCAGACACTTATGAGGTGTAAGTGGGGTAAATCCCACATTACCCAGCCTGTGGCTTGATTCATGTCAACGTCTTTAGTTTTTAGATTGCTGCAACATGGAGCCATGTGTCTGCGAGCGCAACATTCACCCAAAAACTGTATGCCTACAGCTCCACATAGTCCCTGTCTCCCGCTTCGGGCCTGAGCTGCTAGCAGATACTGCGGCCGCAGCAGATTTCCGAGGGTTGACACAGGTCTTTTGTTGCAGAGTTGTTTTACTGACTCGAGCGCTTGCCTCATTGCTGCTCATAATGTGTCAGTTCACATGAGCTGCTGTACTGAAAGGGCGAGAGCAATGGGATGCACTGTAATATCCTGACTCACAGAGGCTCGGAGTCGCCCTCATCTCTACAGGAAAGGGCCTGATATCAATCTCCAAACACAGCAGTTCAGACAGGAGATGGGGATTAGAGGCTGAAGCCTCAGCTATAGAGACTTTATACGCTGTCTGTCTCTGAGTCAACTTACCTCCCATCCTGTGTTTTTATCCCCTGATGGGTTTGTTGGTTTGATATTAAGGTGGAAGCTGGTTTGTATTACCAGCAAAACAAGATGAAGCAGACTTTTAAGCTGCTACTTAACAGAGGGAATACAAAAACTTGCTAAGGACAGAATGGTTTGGGGTCGTCTGACAGTTGAGTCCATCAACAAGCTTATTAAATTGCTTTATTATCCATTTATATCCATTAGTTTCATGCTGTTATTGAAAGCCAACAATTGCATCACCCACCTAATAACTTTTGAAGTTTCACATTAGTCACTTTATATTCTTTATTACAAAAATTAGAGCAAATGAATTGAAGTTAATTTAAAACACTGCATTGGTCTAATGAACTCACTGTGTTTACAAAGATCCACAGAATAATATCAGCCCCTTTGTAAAGATTAACATGCAGTTACACAGATCATACTGGCCATTGATAGAGCATCATTTTATATCAGGGTTTTAAACAATTAATTTTTTAAAGAATTTACCTATATAAACAAATGTCATAAATATTTGGAGCACATTTAAACATAAACTGAAGTTTGTGTTTTTCTTTATGAATCTAATCAGCAGGAGAAGCTAAAACACATCAAGGGCCCATGTCCGGCTTAAAGCATTAAATTAGTTTGTTCATCCTTGGCGCACTTATATTTTGCTATTTTTACTCTGACTCTAACTGGGGTCGCAATTCATCAGGTGTCTTTTGCTTTTGAAATTTAACTAATAAGAAAACAGTTTATGCTCTAAACATCAGAGAGAGAGAAAAAAATAGTATTTCTTAAGAAAAAAATAAGGTTTTAATTTTTATTTATATTCGCCTGACTGTAGAAATCAGACATTATGAGTCAAAAGCTGATAAATATATGTTTATACTGTTTTCCAGGCTGCACTTTTAAAAAATGACATTTTCTACAGCTGTTTTAAACTAAATTTCTTTTTGTTTACACTTGTGTATACAAAATGACAAAATAAATCTAAGTCTAAATGTGAGAACTATGGCTTTATTTGCACTTCTTATCTCTGATCTGCACATCAGATCCTGCCCTGCTTTCAGCTCTTCAGAAAATAGCAAATTTGTTGTTGTTTTTCTGCTCAGCAGCCACTTCTTGCTTATTAACAGTCACATGTTCTCTGAGGAGCAACAAGGCAGCAGAGCGGGACACAAACACAAACTCTGCAGAGTGTTTTAGGTGAAACGGGCAGCATTGTGCCTTGCAGGGATCTTATGATCTGACGCCAAGTGGACGAGGACACGCATTGAGACATTCTTCCACTTCAAAGCCCCCCTAGAGGATTGTGTGGACACTGGTTGAATAGGAGCGAAGGGAGGGGAGGATGGAGGGGGAACAGGTGCAGTCTATAGCAGGAGGAGGGGGATGTCACTCCCACTGCCATCTGCTTCTTTTTTTGTGGGGGGGGGTTAAACACCCCATGACACGACTTGCGCTGACACGCTCCCCTGGCCGGTCGCCCCGTGCCCCGTAACCATGGCGCCACGATTCAGATTAACCTCTGCACATGTGCCGAGTCAGCCACGGGGGTCTGCAGCTTTTGTGATTGAGCATGGGAGAGAATATTAAGAGGAAGGGGGGGGAGGTTGGAGATGGAGGGTGTAAAAAGAACACCCGCCAGTCATCTGCTTTTGTTTGGTAAAGCAGCAGAGGGAGAAGAGATGAAACCATGTGGCAGCAAAACAGAGGGGGGGCATTTGCTCTCTAAAGGGAGTGGTCTCATTTTCTCATTTTAGTTTCCTTTGCTTATCTCAACAGGTGATCAGAAGAACTTGTCGGTCAAGATGACGGCCATTGAGAGCAAAGAGGAGATCAGCGACTCAGACAGTGGGATTATCTTGCACTCTGGTAAAGATGACGCCAAAGAGGAGTCCAATATCAGCATCTGATTGACACACTTCATGATTAACATCAAGGCTGAAACACACTACCACTACCAACTCTAAAAATCTTCATCACAAAATAAGCCTGTTATCTTCTAAGTTGTCTTCCGGTCAATATGCTTTTGTTTTGATCTTATAATTAAAGCTGTTCTGTGAAGTTCGGACAGGTTTTAAGTTAGAGAACATTAGTGATCAAACAGCAGGCATAAAAGTTCTAAAGAGGTTTAAAGCCAAGATGTGCTGCACTGATCCACAGGATCACTGTGAATTTCACAAATCTGGACTTTATGGTTGCCGCAGTCAAAAAAATAAAAATAAAAACTCATAAAATCCCTTAAGCAGTTTGGCAGAATGATGTGTGGCAAAAAAAAGTAGCAGCACACATTATTTTGAACACACCAACCCATTAGTGAAACACGATGGTGGCGGTAGCATGCTGTGGGGCTGTTTTTCTTCTCCTAGAGCAGGGATGGGCAATCCAGTACTTGATGGTTGGTTTTTCAGCAACTTTAAGATGCATCCTAGACTCTCAGTGTGCTGCTTCTCTCCAGTTCCTTATTATCATCTAATTATTTAATTTAGCTGTGTTGGAGCAGGGGCATGTCTAAAAGTGTCCGGACACCTTTTAGGTTTTATAATAAAATGAAATCATGATAAATGTAAATATAATTCCAGGTTTTAGAACAAATTAAAACAAAGACAACATATTCTTAAATAAAACATCTCAGATTTCTGAAAAACGAAGAAAGAAATCATGTAGTTTACATCCTAATAATAGAGGATTCACTGTATCATTGGTGTCATTTTGTAGTGGAAATGCTTTCAAGTATAATATGTAAAAAGCGTAGATTCAAATGTTAAAATTTTCTTATTCTTTTACCTGATGCTTGATTAAAAAAAAACACCCCTCAGGCCTTTAAGATTGTTGAACTAAAGAAAAGCATATTCATGTGTTACCTTGGTCTGTATTAGCCTCTCTTCATCAAATCTCAACGAGTTTGAGTTATTTAAAAGAATTATTCAATTTGATTTTCCATACGGGGATGTTGGTAGCGTAATCCTTATTAATTATGCAGGAGGTTAGAGAACGCGTGCACCTTTGTCTGATTTTTATTCAACGTCGCGTTTTATAATTGCCTCAGGTCCAGACAGCCCCACCTCTCCGGTGAAGGACCTGACCACCCACACCAGAGCCCTGAAACTGAAGCATCAATCTCTGGAAGAACGTCTAGAGCTCTGCCTGCTGGAGCTTCGAAAACTTTGCATCAGGGAGGCAGTAAGTGAGCCCTTTCAGGGAGTTTCAGGGAATAATTTGTTGTTATTATATTCTCTATGGGAAAACAATATTTCATTCCTAAACGTGACACTTTTTCTGTAATCAGCTGCTCTGTTTTGGTTTCACAGGAACTGACGGGCTCAATCCCCTCAGACTTTCCTCTGATGCCTGATGAGAAGCCGCCTCGGGTTAGGAGGAGGATCGGAGCTTCTTTCAAGCTGGATGAAGGTCTGATCCATCAGGACCAACAGGTACCAGCTGCCACCTCATCAGTCCTCACTGGGGATGGGCTTAAAGAAGAAACAGAGAGTTAAAGCAACTTTCCATATTTCTCTTTATCCTAGGACTCAGAGTTACAAGCTCTGGAAACTGACTTGGCGGTCCAGCGACAGATTTACGAGGCGGCCCGAAAGCTCTCCCTCGAGGAGAACCTCAGTAAACCACAGAAGAAGAGCCGGCTGCAGCAGTGCAAAAGGGAGGAGAAGAAAGTGAAAGATCTGCAGGAGGCTGTTTTCCAGCACAGGATCAAGAGTGAGTGTAACTCACCCTGCATCTCCATCTCAAGCAGCCCAAGTAAAGGTGAGTTATGCTGCTGCTCCCTAAGGACTATCTGTGAAATGCAGTGGGTGGGATGAAAGTTTGAAATGTGTGATTTTTCTCCACAGATACTTCTGATGACAGCTCCCTTTCTGATGTGGTGGCTCTGGATGATGGTGAGTTAACATGCGTACATGATTGACTTTACACATGAGTGCCTGAGGTAAAAGCAGATCGCACAGAGACACTAATAAACAGAGAGAAACAGTATAAAGTTTTAAAGTTAAGTGGCGTTTTTTATTATTATATTTAAGATACATTTAGAATTGAGCTGTCAGTTTTTTATCTCCTTTTTAAAAAATTTTTTTGCAAAAGAGGAAAACCTTTCGTTTTTTGTATCCTTTCAAGACGTAGATTCATCTTGCCCGCACTCACCCCCAGTGTTGGACACTCCCCATTCAGACCCTCTGCATTCACCCCATCAGCCTTCAGGCCAGGTGGATGCGCAGTATGAACGCTCTCCAATCCAGAACTCTCCATGGAAGGAGTCCAGTCTGGATCAGCCTTACCAGAGAGCAACAAAACCTCAGTCAGCCAGCAGAAGCAGGTCTAGGTAAGAAACAGATCTCTGAGAACGTCTCATCAAGCAGAGGCTTACTGTTATATTTTAATCATGCTTTTTCTTATTATAATTTAAAAGCAGCCTTTTGTTTTAAATGAAAAACATTACAGTAAAAGACCCTCCTGGTTTGTATTGTAGACATTCAGATCTTTAAAAGAAGGCAAGGCTTTGCTGATTGTCTTGTTCCTGTTTGATTGTATGCAGTAGTCCAGCAGGAGTCCAGCTGTCTGCAGAAAGCTGCAGGATTCCTCTCACACAGTTTGTCAGGAACTCTGCTTTGCGCAACAACCAGTCCACCAGCGCCCCCTCTACTCCAGAGCTGCTCGTACGCCGACAATACTCCCAGTCTTTCAGGTATAGAGACCACTTATGTTCCAAATAAACATCCAAAAAGCCTACCAACATGTGCGCTGCAGCAGGCTCTTATACCATATATTTTGTCTTTGATAACTTTTATATATATGGATAGTATTCTTAAAGGAATATTCAATGACTTGTTAGATAAATTTTTGCAGAGATAGTGGGCATTTGGGCTCAGGAATAGCTTCAGATCCTACGAAGGAAGACTTTACAAAACACATCCCCCAATTAACTCCACATGTTTAGATAACATGGCAAAAAAAATAATAATTTTATTGGATTACATGCAGTCAGTTCTGCCCCACAAAACCTTTAATCAGAGTGACTGTCGGTGCACTTACCTTGCTAAATCTTGTCAAACCAATACTAAAAGCTTTGTTTCCTCACTCACTGCAGCTATAACTATCAGACTTCAAAGGAGAGCTTTTTCACACCAGAAATAACTTTGTTCCTCTTTTTACATCCTTGTCTAAATTAACATTTTCCTTAGATCTTTGAAGTACGTATGGTCTCCAGTATTATAGATTTTAAAGTATAGATTATTGAAGTTAGATTAGATGCAACTAAAACAAAAATAGTTAATTAGCTCTTAAAACAGTATCAAATAGAAAGTCAGCTTCAGCTATTATGTTTATTATTAGTTTTTGGAACATGATTGCTGATAATATGGTGGCTGTATTAAAAAGTTGATCCTTAAGAGGTTATGGTGTTTTCAAATATTTTCCATGTTATTCTTCTGGTGTTTATAGAGTTTATAATGTAGTTTTTATTCCCCCAGACTTCCCAAAAAGAAGTTGACTGTTGACATGGAGCGGCTGAGCCGCGGCCGAACCAGGCTGCCTCAGCAGCGCTGTGTTCCAGAGACCATGCTGCGCTCTCCAGAGTTCTCCCCTCCGCGTCCTTACCAGTCCAGCTCAGAGGACAGCAGCTCGGAGCACTCCTCCACCTCCTACGTCTGTTCTCCTGCAAGGGACAGACCTTCTGAGATTCCTAAACTCTGTCCCCCGCCTTACGGATTCCACTTCGGGGCACAGAAGAAGGAACTTTCCTCTTTCCGCACCCCCGATAAGAGGACCAGCCATTCTCAGTCCAGCCCTGGAAATGTCAAACCTATGGAAGAGAACAGGCCTCTATCGCCTCAAGACACGGACAAAAGAAAGAAAGTTTCAGCTGCACCCCCTGGGACTAGCAATCTGCAAAGAGGAACTCCCTGCCAGAGGAGCATCCTGAAGCCCCCTCCTCCTTACACCAAACTGGTCCGAACACCTTCGCTAAAAGACTACCCAAACCACGCCGTCAGGCTGATGCCTCGGGAGATCGTGTCAGAGGAGCTGAAGTCCTGGCATCAGAGGAATCAGCTGCAAAAGATCTATCCACGCTGTGGAGAACATCAGAGCATCATGAGCCCCACCTCTCCTCACATGCCCCACTTTGAACAGGTAGGTGCTGCTGAACACAGATACAGTCTCTGCAAGGAGCAAATCTTCAGAGGTGTAATATAACCGTGCATTAAGTCTGCAGTTGGGACATTTTTTCTTTTGCAATCTTAAAGAAATGAAAATTTTTCCCAGCTGCAACAAATGTTTTGCATAAGCTTGAGCCATTTATTGTCTTAAAAAAAAAACATATATTACATGTCCTTGTTTTTATAGCACATACTGTCGATTGTCAGCAGATTTCTTTATTATGGAAACATTAAGGTATTTAAAGTGCTTTCCTAAAGGCCCTGAATTTCTTTACATATGGTCACTCTACAAATGCGATTCTTCCATCGCGATTATAGCTGCCATTCTCTTTACAGAAAAAAGTACTAAATCTCTATTAGCACTTATCAAAATTTAGGAAACATCCCAGCACACTGAAAAAATGTTGAAGCCATGGAAAATAAAAGGTGTGACAGAAATCAGAAGAAAATGATGTGCAGCCAACCTGTTTAAAACCAGTGATGTTTAGAGAAGTCAGGCAGCGGCTAAAACTCATCTTCTTTTCCTTATAAACATTTTAATCCCAGGCAATCTGAAGGTTTATCTATTGATGGCTCTATTTTAATCAGACAGGGACATGTTCATGTTGGGACATTCTGCCTTCTAGTGGTGAGGCAGGAAGATTACACAGTGTTTGCGTTGCTGTGAGACTGTTGTACAGGTAGATAACGGTTTAAACGAAGATAATCTATCATCCTGATCTCTAATCTAGTTTACCCTCCCAGATTGTCTTCCCATCAACTTTTGACCAGCTTTCATGTCCCTGCAGCAGGATGCTGGCACCATGTTTCACCATTAGGACCAGGGAGGAATGTTGGCTTCTTGCAACACATATAGTTTAGCATGTTGTACAATAGTTCAGTTCAAAAAGGTTCCTCCTTGTCATGCTTCTAAAGCCTTTTTCCTCTTCAATGTTTTTGAAGGTGGCACTAAAAACCTTTTTAAAATGTGTTGTTTTATCTTGTTACATTGAGTTAAAAAAAAAACAAATTTGACTCATTTAAGAACATCTCATGAGTATTAAGACTGATGTAAGGGTCTTTTTTTTTCCCCCCTCAGGGTTCGGGTAACCTGGTCCTCCAGAGAGCTGCAGATGGGACTCCGGTCCAGTGGTTTGTGGCTGAGGATGCGGAAATTGTGAGCCAGGTGTAATTTTCAACCTCCAGCTCGTTAAGTTATTCCTGTTTATTTATCTCTGTATTTATTGAGACTTTAGACTCTCTGTGAGATTGTTTGACGTAATGCAGAAAAAATTGGACCTGTTGGTACCGGTGTGGTAATTATTTATAACTTAATGTAAGGTGAAATGCCACTTTTATTTATCTGTGGTCATCTTATATTAGACTGTAGCTGAAGTGAGGCTTATGCAATCTCATAAATGTGAGAAATTGACTACAAAGGTTCTTTTTCTGTGGCTGGAACACATTTTTTATTATAAAGTCACTTGCTCTAGTTGTCATTTAGGTTTCCACATTATTAATATAAATTGACCTTATTTATTAAAGGTTTCTCTTGAAACATAGATTTATAACAATTTGATACTTATTGGACCTACTTAAATGTTTAACCTAAAGTTTAGTATTTTTATGAATCCCCGACCTGTTAGCGGTCTGATGAATGTTTTAACTGCAGTTTGCTGTGCTTTTACTAACCGCTTGATTGTATGAGTGATGAGGTATTTTTTTGTATATTTATAATAAATAATCTTAAAAGAAATGGGAATGGGTTTTATTTCTTAAAGAATCTATGCAGAGAATAATGATTTTCCAGTCATGGCTCAGGCTCCTCTTCATGAAGCTTCCACATTACGTAAGTCAGCATCAACACACAGAGGAGCACCAGCAGGTTGGTGTAGCAGCGCGCCCATCGGCAGCGATGCAACCGGACCGCCAGAGGATCCTGCTTACAAGGGGACCCATACCTGAAAGAGGCAGAAGCGATTTTTGCCACCTAGATTATACTCAAATTACGCCATTTAAAAACAAATTAATAATAAGGAGTGTTAGTTTCACTTACGTGCCTATGGAGATTTGTCTCTGAATACTTTGTGCCTTTCTGTCTTTTCCTTTGCTTAAAACGGCTGCTTTGGCTTTCTGTCTTTGTTGCAGAGAATCCAGAGAGAGGCTGTAACGAAGACTATTAAAATGGGGAAATGTTAGCGCAGGTTTAACAAAAATAACCACAGAAACCTGTATTAACTATCCTTTTTTTAGTCCACAAACCAAGCAGTTGTAAGCTGTTAACCGTGTATCTGCATAAGCAAATTTAAAAACGGAAGAAAAAAGTAAATCAGCATAAACAAAGGATGACCTTTTACTTGAACAATTAACTGAAACCTGAGCAGACATCCTCCACAGTTACTGGAAGCCTGAGAAAAATAATTTAATATTGCAAATCCACAATGTTACACTGGAAATATAAATTCTATTTAATCTTAAACTTTAAAGTAGTTGAAAAAGATCCCATCTTTATTTTAAAAAAAAACACTGGGGGAAGTCAAACATTAAACAATTAAAAGAAAATAAATGCAAATAAATTTTGATTAATGCAATAAAGTACTTCACTTTCTAATTCATCCTGTTGAATAAAATGTTTTATAAGCAATACTTTACCCTGTATTATCTTAAGAGTATAAATATGATATAGAGGTACATTAATCTTGATTACTCTCAAAATAAAAGAAAATAACTCAGTTAAAGTAAACCAGATGTTTCTTTATCTTGATAAATGTGGAAATGGAGGGATTCAAATGTTAAATCAGACTAACTCTCACTCACAATGACTACAATGATCATAATACTAAATGGAAATGTGTGAAACAAAGCTGGACGAGACCCAAAGTTCCTAACAGGGATGGTGAAGGAAGGAAATACAAAAATCTCCAAAACTAAACTCAAAAAAAGCACAAAATCCAACGAGATACCCACATTTTTTTGGTAAAAAAAATGTTAGGAAAAAGTCTTTTCTGTCTCACAAATAAAAAAATTAGCAAGGTTTGCTAACCGCCACTGTAGGATTCAACTTTGGTGAGATGAGACAAAAGAGCTTTTCTGGCAGCAAAATGTTCCAGGAGACGAAACGATCATCTCTACTGCACAATATAAGCAGAGCATGTCTATGGCCGGCCCAAAATGTCCTTAAATTTTATTTAAAAAATATAGACATATAGCTGTAAATTGTTTTTAGAATAAAAATGTCTAAATGCTGAATCCATCTTAGGCCTTTAACAGATTTTTAGGGTATCAGGAAACGTGAAGGATATTAAGACAGAAACATAATGGCAATAAGTCTGCTTAATTAGGGACAGTTTTGGTATTGCAAATTCTTTAAAAGTACTAAAAACATTTAAATAGAAATTCTGTTAGTTATTCTATCCTTCAGAGCTGTACGCTAAGAATGAGCGAGGCATAGACTCACTGATCCATACCACCCGGATCTACTGCACAGACATCCAGATGTCATTCAGACTGGAGAAGTGTGGTTGAATGGTGACTAAGAGAGGGAAGGTAGTCGACACAGAGGGGGTCTCCCTCCCAGAAGGAACAATTGCGGATAGTTACAAGTACCTCAGAATCCCACAAACAAATGGCAACCTCAAGGAGGTGACAAGGAATGCAGCTACGGCCAAATACCTCCAACGAGTAAGGCAAGTCCTAAGAAGCCAGCTCAATGGCAAGAATAAGTCTCGGGCAATAAACAGCTGTGCTCTGCCAGTAATCAGATACCCTGCAGGAATAATAAAATGGACAAAGGATGAGGTACAGGCCACAGATGTTAAGATACGAAAGCTCCAAACTATCCACAGAGGGTACCACTACAAATCCAGCCCCCTGAGACGGTACACTAGCCAAGAGGAAGGAGACCGAGGACTAGTGAGCGTGAGAGCCACTATCCAGGATGAAGCATCCAAGATCCAAAAGTACATCAAGGAAAAGGTTCCAACACACAAAGTGGTCACTGAATGTCTCAGACTATGGGGAACAGAAGATAAGTTGCTGGAGATTCCGTCATGAGAGGATAAGCCCTTACACGGGATGTACCACCGAAACATAACCGAAGTGTCCGATCTCAGGAAATCCTACCCATGGATAGACAAAGCCAGACTAAAGGACAGCACAGAGGCACTCATCATGGCTGCAGAGGGGCAGGCCCTAAACACCAGAGCAATAGAGGACCAAACAACATTTTTTTTTCAGGAAATAACTGAAATCAGGTGTTTGTTTTTTTATAATCATCAGGAAATGTTCAGTATCTTTAATTATTATTACTTTTCTCAGCTTTGTGTTATTTGAATTACTAATGTGTATTACTATTGAATTGATCTTTTCTGTTAATGGGGGTATGTAAACTTCCAAGCACACCTGTATGTATAAGTGTCAAGAAAACTAAGACTAGCCCATCTAATATGGTTAGAGAGGTGGTCCCTGCAAACGGCCATACCTTTTGCTCTGCGTACTTGGAGGAATCACTTCTTCAGTTGATGGGCTCCCTGGGGTGGGAGCAGAAAGATCTGGAAAGGTAGTACATGCTCGATCTGGGTCTGCCTGCCTGTAACAGAACCTATTAGAAGCTAAGCATAATTATATGCCGCTGATGCACTGCAGATTATAATTTCCTAGCTGACCTTTCATCCATTAAGTGGCTGTCCCCAGAAGTGAAGACAGAGCTGCAAGAATCTAAACTCAGGGAAGGAGACAAAAGTGGAGGGGACTGCTTCTTGCAGGTGGAGGTCCACTTCCTTAAATCTCGCTTTTTCTTCTCCTTTAAAGAAGAAGATTGAATTATTAAAGATGATAGAACAATAGAGGAGTTCCTTATGGAAACCATCTTACCTGAGCTGGGCTAGAAATGATCGATGCACTGACTCTACGACGTAAGATGCTCTTAAAATACAGACAGATTTAGTAAGAAGAGTTTATTTTAGACAATACTTTTAACTTTAAGCCAAAAACATGCCCACCTGATTAGAGTTTCTCCTCTTTCTATCACTTTCTGGATCTGCTGTGAGAGATATTGCATTGTTTTTTTACTTAATAAGCATCAAAACATGGGAAAACATTACAGGACAAGCAAGATGATGCAAACCTGAGATGATTCTTGGATTAATGCTGTGCCGGCTGGAGTTCAACTGCTGCTGCTCCACTGTCTTTTTAGCTTCTTCAAGCTCAGCTAAATGTCTGTCATGACGTCTCCTCAGACTCTCCACATGAGCCACCATGAGCTCCACAGCACGACTCACTCGAGCCTCCTATAAGATCCTCCGTAAATATCCAGTTATGGTGTGAATAAAACAAAACAGGTTTACAACCATTTGCAGTATAAAAAGACTAAATGTCTGTTATTTAAATCATTCCTCACATACTACTATATTTTAGTAAAGAGTCCAATTCTCTTCTGTTGTATATATACATTTTAACATGTACCTGGTGAACAGCGCCAAGCACCTCTGCTGTGCTGGAGATTCGCTCAACCGTCCCACCCAGGATGTCCAGACACAACTCCAGCCTCTGCAGGATGCTGCTGCGCTTACTGTCCAAACACAGGCCCTTCAAGGTCTAAAGAAAAACACACTTCCTCTCCTTACTATCATAAAGCCATACATTTCCAGATCAAGTTTTCACTCTTTTTTAACTTCTTATGTTTATTTAAGCTAGGGCTGAAACAATAGGATTAATTGTTATTAATCGATTATTGAAATAATCGTCAACTATTTTAGTGCTCGATTAATCGTTCAATTGAGTGAGAGACTGTAAGACATGCCTTTAGCTGACAGAGCCACCCACTTAGAGCAGTAATTATACTAAAATGTAAAGAAAATATGTTAACATTTTGCGCTTAAGATAAAAAAAAAAAAAGTTGTCGTCAGTCAATATTTACAATCCAGAACTCCTCAAGTGGAAACATTTTAGTTTCAACTGGTTTAATTTAGTTAAAAAAATCTTCTTTAAGGAACCTTTTGGTTATCTCTGGTTGTCTGATTATTGTTGTCCAACTATTTTGCCAATCAATTAACCTGTTGATTGATCGATCTGCAAAATAATCGTCAGTTGCAGCCCTAATTTAAGCCCAGATGCAGAGCATGCTAATGTAATCACACCATGGGAAACTTCTATTGGCATTTCTAATTGTAGACAAATACAGTAGGAATTTTTACACATGGCTATTTAAACTTAAAACAAATCTAAAAAAAATTGCTTATTTTTAGTCTTGATGTCGGTATGCAAGACGTATTATATAAAAGAAACTGAAACAAAGGATTATTTAAAAATAAAAACTAAACTAGATTACAAAAATTGATTTAAACTAAAATAGAAAATAAAACCAGAAGTCAAAGCTAAATTAAAATAAAAACTAATAATAATTTTAAGATTAGTTAAACCTAGGTGACCGCATATCTCCATGCCAAATTAGTTTTTCTATTAGATCACAACCTTTGACTTGAAAGTGGCTTATGCAAGTTTTAGGCATTATTTTAAGCAGAAAGGCTGGATTATTCAGATCCCACAACTAGATCCTAGTAATAAACCTGCAGGAAGATAGAATTTCGTGCTCATAGAGGCTCTCCATCCAATCTGACTGAGGCAGGAAAATGTTAATTCTCTAGATGAAGGTGGTGGAGACATTCACCCAAAAGATGCATGTCTCTGTGTATTTTGTGGAGTTAATACAAACGCATGGAAACCCCTTTTTCCTATTAATACCTTGGAAACACTTTGATCATGCCACTTTTTATTTCAGCTTCACAAAATGGCTTCGCTTCATGTTGAGTTTTCAAATAAAATATCTAAAAATACAATGGATTTCTGTTACTGTAACTTAAAAAAAATCCAAAAGATGCACTGTAAATCCAAATAAGTTCAGAATACTGAAAAAAAAATTGTGGAAACCAATTACCTTAAAGTTTTTACGTAAGTTAAAATAGTTACATTTGAATTACTTATCTTTTTACAGCATTTACATCATGATGTAAAACTCAAAAACTTTGAGGTAATAGTTTCCACAAATGTTTTGGGTATTTTGAACTGTGGTTTATGTACAATATAAAAAAACCATCCTGGTTTGTTCCCCCATGCCGTACCTCCAGAGTCTCCCTGCCTCGTGTGAGCTCCAGGTGGATGTTCTCCTCGGCCAGGTTGCGAGCGTGCTCCTCTGACTGCAGCCTCTGTCTCAGGGTGTACTGGTCACAGCGAAAAGCCAGGGCGATCTGAGAGAAGGCCGTCTAGAAACGCCGTCAGATCTCAGGTTTTTATTGGTTTCTTGGAATCCAGTTGCTTCTTACTTCAAACTCAGATAAACTTCTTGAACAAATCAAATACAGCCATGCTTTGGGAATTGCAAAACAATTTACAGTTTGTAAATCTTTTACCTCCAAGTCCTTTTCTGTCATGTCCAAGCTGTTAGAAAACAAGTCAACAACTTAATCTAGGTTTAAACTTTTCTATACCGTGTGCTGTTATAATGTGTCTCACCTGTTGAGGCCTACTCGCTCTATGATGGACATATCACTCCAGCTCTTCACCGATGGATCCTCCTGACCCGTCTCTGTTAGAAAGATGAACCCAGGTGGAACTTAGGTCCAGAACATCCTCTGATCCTTTTTATTAATCTTTCTTTACGCTTGTACCTTCCTCACTTTCGTCGCTGTCCGGCATATTGGATGAACTGTGTCCGTCTGTTTTTGTTTCAGGTGGAAACCTCTAAAGAAGCATTGGGGCATTCAAATTAAACATGTGAAATGAAATAAAAGTGACAGTTGGTGGGAAATCATTTGACCTGCCACTGTCCCCATCAGTGCGTCGGCCTCAATGTGAACCAGAACAAACCAGAAGTCTGCTTCAGCTAATTGAGCTTTTTTCAGTTCGTCTTCATAGCGAAGGGTTTACTGTCTGTCCTTGGTACATTCTCCTCTCTCCTCCTTTCTTTCTCCTGTCCTGAGAATAGATAATCCCATTAAGAGATCCACAGTCAAAGCAGTGCAGGGTCACTTGCCCAAGAGGCTCATGGGAAGTTGTGGAACACACTGGGGTTTAATCTATTAAAAAAAACAACAATGGTTATAGGAGAAAAACAAAGGTTCTGGAAATGCTTGACTCCATCTCTACAGAATATATACATGGAAAATGCTTTAAAAATTAGCCGTTTGAAGTCAAACGAAACAAACTGAATGAGTTTGTCTGTTTCTGATAAGAGTGGTTATGAAACCTGTTATACTTCAGGTTTTTTATGGACTGTGTTCCAATTGCTATGTCTAATGAGACTGTACGTATAATTTTGACCTTATTAAAAGAACGCCATTTTAAATTTTCCTTTTAAATGATGGATGTTTTTGTTTTGGGGGGTGTAGGTTTTTTTCTTTTTAAACAATATTTTTAGGAAATAAGTTTCGGAAAGAATGTCAAAATTACTTTTCTTTTTAATAATACTTAAAAGATTTATTTCTTTTATTTTTTTTTTTGTTTTTCCATTTTCTGGTCTAAGATGTATATCTTTATATAAATGACTGACTAATGTTTTATTACTTTTTGATCTTGTGGGTAGACGCACAGTAGTTCTGAGGGGTATGTGTGTGTGTGTGTGTGTGTGTGGGGGGGTGTGTGTGTGTGTGTGTGTGTGTGTGTGTGTGTGTGTGTGTGGGGGAGAATGTATAATGTTTAAAAAATATATTTATATCTTGAGCAAGGAATGTAACTGTTTGTTTTGTGTTTAATAAAAAGAGATCTAAAAAAATACTTAAAAGATAAATACTTGTTTCTCTGAGAGAATAATTACTAGAAATGTTCTCACATTTTTTTTCCAAATGTTGTCAATTCTGCCTACAGTATTCTGCATTTTTACAGACATCTGAAAATACATTGCAGATTACATAATACACATCTTTTAAGTGGAGTTTAGGGGAAATTTTAATCTATCTCACAGGACTATTTTAAGAGGAAAAACTCATGCTGGTTTGCTGAATGTTTTTACTCATAATCAAAAAGGTGATCATGTTCCTACTTTGAAGAAGTCTTAATAGTGTTTAAACTCTTATTTCCTCTGTATTTGTTGTGTTGGTCTTTTTCTTGGACCTATTGTGTTATTGAACAAGTGTTCAAACTTATGTGTGTTAAAGACAATGTTAAATAATATTGACATTGGCACAAAGTCAGCTAGTCTGCTGTCTCTGTTTGCTACTCGAAATATTTTGTCAGCATCACCCAACGGTTTATTTTCTGTTTAGCAGTAAGTAGCAGTATTCAGTATTATATTGCCTTTTGAAATAAATTATTTTGATTCTCTTTGATTTTATTGCTTATTTTGCACAATATTCATGATAATGCTTGAGCAACTGTCTGTAGAATAATGAAGTTCTTATAATGATTGCATGTATTCAAGGTTGATATTTTAGGAAACTGCTAAATTGAATTATTGTAATGTGTATCTACTGTGCCTCTCTACAGTAAACCTAAACAGAATATTATTGTAATTTCCAAATAATAGAAATATGATACATTTATATTTTACTGTATTAGACTGTGAAATCATTGAACAGTGAGAATACAGACTACTACTGTAAAGTCAATTTACGGTATGAAAACCCTAAAATGACAGTATATTGCTGGTGTCCTAGCTGCCAGCTTTTTACCGTAGCTCATAGAAATATAGAAATATACCGTATTTCTGGTTTACGGTCTACAACTGTAAAATCAATTTACGAATAAATACCGTAAAAATAACGGTATATTGGTGGCGTCTCTGCTGCCAGCTCTTTACTGTTATTTTACAGGAAAATTACTTACAGTGTGGCTCTTAGTTTTGTTCAGATTAACTTAGGAAATTTGCTCTTAAAGTTAAAGGGGTCATAGAATGATTATATAGGGTATTTGGTGCTGGGCCTTAAGGTCTCTGAATAGGGTGTGTAACATTGGTTGAGCTGAAAATGGTATTTTCTGTTCTATGGGCACCAAGCAAGCCTGGTTAAAAGCCACAGAATAAAACAGGCTTTCTTCCTTTGATAGTATGCTCATGAATTTTTAGGTTGCAAATTGCTGCAGGTCTAATCCAAAATTATCTGAATATCCCACTGAGTCTATGTAGTGAAGTACCAAAACAAAAAGATTGATTAGAAGGTTTGATGCTTTTTAAGTGGCAGTTGATGTAAAATGCACACAGCTGATTGACCTGGGTAATGAGACCCTACACCCTACATGTGACCCTGTATTTTAGAATGCATAGATAAATGAATGTATTGTAAATGTCTGTAAATACTTATTTTTGTTAAAAATGTAAATAAAATGTATATGCTGGTAATAGTTAGGATAAGGGACTGGCTTAGGGCATATAAAATTAATGCAAGTGAATGAAATGTCCCCATATGTCATGAAAACAAAGCTTTGTGTTTGTGCTTGAGAGTAAAATGTTGCCCCATCGTCTATTATTATTTACTGTTTAGAAAGCAGGGTTGATTTTACTAACCACAACCAAGAAATTACTTTAATAGAACCTGACTGACTATAGGTTTTTAAAACATAAAACACAATGCACAAACAGTGGAACAGACATCTCTGAAGGTCTGTTCTTTTTTTCTTTTTCTTTTTTTATAACTTTATTGAAAATTTTGTACAAACATACAGACATATTGTTACACAGAACATTAGACAGGTGCTCTAATAACAAAAAATAAAGAAAGAAAGAAAATAATGAAAAGGAGTGTACTTACACTTTGAAAAATCTTTCAAAAATATCTGTGGATGTGGTGCTTTGTTTAGAATCAATTAATGTAAGGGTTTTCATGTATTCTTTAAATTCAAGCAAGAAACATTTGAAGTTGGGGGATGTTTTGGAATGTTTGCATTTGTGTATATGAAATTTACCATACAAAATGAATAGATTTGTAATAAAAGCAGCATTCATGTCTCCATGGACAAAATAAAATATTACACTTTTATGGTCAATTACAATGTTTGTTTTGAGTTTACACATTATATATTGTTCAAGAAGAGTCCAGAAAGTGGTAGATTGAGTACAATGATAAAATAAATGAGATAATGTTTCTGGTACCATGTTACAAAAACTGGATTTATTTTCAATATCTGAGAATTTAGAAAAATATAAATTTGTTGGATATATAGTGTGTAGAATTTTAATGTGAATCTCTTTTATCTTATTAGATATAAAGTATTTATAAGGTAATAGCCAGGCCTTCTTCCAGTCAGTTACCATAAAGATGTTATCCCAAAATGCTTTTCCTCGTGGCTTTATCATTCTCTTTTCGTAAAAACAATGACGTATATGTTTGTTGTTGCATTTTGAGTCTGTTACATCATAACCGTTAATCATTAGAGGGGATTTTATTCTAAGTGCTTCATGGTACTGACAATGACTTCGGATCAGGAGAGAAAGGCCACTAGGGATAGCCTTATTTACGTAATTGAATTTTTTATGTGACAGGAAAGGATTTAAGTCTAAGGAAATGTTCATAGCTTAGCATTATACCATCAGAGTCAAAAAGGTTGCATACAAAGATTATATTTTTACCAAACCAGTTCTGTAAAAATATAGATTTTTTCCTAATAGTAATATCTTCATTATTCCAAATTAAGGCTTTGTGAGGAGAAAAGTTGTGGGAGTTGCAGAGTTTCCATGCTAAGCGAGCTTGTTGGTGAACTTTGGATAGTTTTAAAGGTAATTTGGTAACACTGTAATTACAGGTGAGTGAAAATGTAAACCGCCCAATTTTTTAAAAATATTATTAGGAATAAAAAACCAAATTAGATTAGGGTTTTTAAGACATTCCTTAATCCATTTTATTTTAAAGGTGTTATTCAAGTCATTGAAATTTATTAATTCAAATCCTCCTTGTATCCTAGGTGCTGAGAGAATTTCATTCTTCAAAAGAGGTTTCTTATTTTTCCAGATGAATTTGATGAGAATTTTATTTATTTCTTTGGATGATGAATTTTCAACAAAAAGTGATAGGGCAGGATATACCAGTCTCGAAATGCCTTCGGCTTTAGATAAGAGAATTCTACCAAAAATCGAAAGGTCACGTTGAAGCCACATATTCATGATATTTTGGGTTTTTCTAATTCTGGGGAGGAAATNCGAGCACAAGCTTGACCGCAGATCAAATAAACGTTTTGGGAAACATGTGTTGCTTCCTAAATGCGTCCTACATCCTGAACTCTGATTCGTCCATGTTGGAGAAACTAAAGACCTGCCAAGACCTCTCTGATGCTCAAGCAGCGGCAGTGGAAGCTGTTCTGATCAAGGGGAACACTACATATGGGTAACCACCAACACTGAACCCACTTTTTATGTCGAATAAATATCTGTAGTTTTTGGCAGAAAATGGTTGCCTTTTTCTCCTTATAAAACATCAATTTCTGTTGCTTTTTAATATCCAGAAACCCTTCAACATGGACTGACACAACTCTGAGGAGCCTCGACACATTGCCTTTGTACATGTCTTCAGATTTCTATGACAACTTTGAAAAAGTAAGTAATTAATGTGTGCATTCCGCATACATTCTCCTGAAGGGGGATAAATTATGTTTTCTTTTTTTATATAATGTTCCTGTTATTCTTCTTTGCAGCCTGTAAAGCGCAGATTCCTAAGATACTTCCTGAAAGTTCTCAGACAGAATAGAGTCAGTCGAGCAAAGAGGAGGAGGATGAAGGCAGAGATAAGAAAATCTATCAGAAAAAGAACGAGACGAGATGCAGGTCAGTTTCATTTCACTTTACGTCGTTTGGTTTACCCACTGATTATTGATTTTTTCCTATTCCTTCCATTCATTTTCAGTCAGTGAATGCACCGTGGGAACAATCAATGAAGTTGTCATCAGTGATGAAAGTTTCCCCTTGGACTATGACGACGTCAATCAGTTTAACAGCTGTCTCAGTGCTGCTACGGTCAGAGACAACCTGGAAGCCATCACCCAGAAGGTTGATCTGGAAGATTACCTTAAGATTGTCCTCGAGAAGCTAAGACAGGTATGTCTTAATATAATAGAGAGCAGGGGGGGATTTACCATTAGGCAATACTAGGCAGTTGCCTAGGACCCCAAGTTCCTGGGGGGCCCATAAAACTCTGTTTCCATGTATGGTTAATACAACTAATCCTTATTTGTGCACATTAATTATGCTTTTGATAAAAATCCTTTGGCTAAAATGCCATCAGAACGCTGATAAATAGAGAGGAAAAAGGGACAAGAAGAGAGGGACAAAACCTAGAACAAATAATGGATGTCTATTCTATTAACATTTCTCTATCTGTAGAATGGGTCTGTTTTATGGGTTTTCTTCTCAGGGGGCCCCCTGNCATGCTCGATAGTGGCAGTGGTAGTACCAAATGGTATTCTCAGTCAGTCCAAGGCCGGTTTACCATCTCCAGAGACAACAGCAAAAATCAGCTCTATCTGCAGATGAACAGCCTGAGAACAGAAGATTCTGCTGTTTATTATTGTGCTCGAGCGTCACAGTGACTGAAGTCAGTTCAGCAGCTGTACAAAAACCTCAAACTCTGATCTGTTGTTCTGAATTTTACCCTTTTTTTTATGAGAACTAATTTCACAGAATATTTTCCCAATGTTTTTTTTCTGTCTGAACCTAAATAGTTTGAGTAGTAGCAACTTTTATTCCACATTAAAATTCTGAAATTAGGAACAGTGTGTGTTTAAATAAAGTAATGATAAGCTAAAGTATTGCCAGATGTTATTTTGTTCCAACTTTTTGGTCTCCATGCCTTTTTTATTCAATATACTTTAGAGAGTTAACATTGTTTTAATAGTTTAAAACAGCAGGCTGTGTAATGAAATTAAATTTCTTTCACAATAGTTTTTTTTTTACATCCTGTTTTGTACTGGGAATTGGTTTCCCAGAGCTAGATAACAACCCAACAGATATGCTTTCCCAAGCAGCCCAATATTTTTGTTTTCACAATTTCCACTTTATAATTATGTATAAAGCTTTATTAGAAATGGTTTAGAGGATATAGTCTTATGTAACATAGACGGAAATGGGAGGTGAAGAAGAGAGATGGAATTAGCACTAAGTGAAGAGACAAAGAGAGACAGAGAAATAAAAACGTATAAGAATTACACAATAATGTTACACCAGGACTCTTCTTTAATATAAACTGAATATCACACATTACTGTACAATCTTTCTTTTACATATGAAGATCAACTTGTTTGGTTCTAGTTTTTTTTACTCTCACCATGTGACATGACTGTAAAAGTAACTTCTAAATTGTTACTAGATTATCACGTTTTTACTGAAATAAAGAAATAAAACAAAAACAATATATTGTAACTATTATTTTTTTTTAAATCAGACGTTAAATTGCTGTATTACAGAGAAATATATATATAAAAAAACACTGTGTGAACTAAATTGTCTTTATGTCTTAAATCTGAGTATGAATCCCTCCCTCCCTGACAGGTGGAGTCAATGCAAAGCTTAATATTTTCAGGTCCTATTTCTGTGACTGTGACAAGCTGTCAAAGAATGAGAATCACACTGAAACATGATGGACTTCAGATCTGGACTTCTTTGTTTTATCATCTGCTTTTCAGGCGAGAAAAAAAATATATGGAACCTTCAATCTGTTTTTGTGAAACTATTTATTAAAAAGAACTTTACTTACTGACCTTGTTTGCTTTACAGGTGTTAATAGTCAGACTCTGAGAGAATCTGAACCAGTAGTTAAACAACCAGGAGAGTCTCACAGACTGACCTGTACAGCTTCTGGATTCACATTCACAGAGACACAGTGATTGAAGTCAGTTCAGCAGCCATACAAAAACCTCAGCTTCCTTCAAATCTTTCTAGAGAAAAGTTTCATTTTGACTGGGAGAATTTCAGACTTTTTGCACAAGAGACTCCTTGTGCAAACAGTCTGTCATTCTATTAGGATTAATATGTTTAAAAGAGGCAATAATAACTTCAAGTATTCCAATAAAACATTTGTTGATACCTTTTTGTATTCCATGTCTTACTTCTGAAATATAGTTTATAAGTCAAAATCTGTTTGGAGTTGTGGGGTTTGATGTTTTCTTATACATACAACAAACCCAACCATATTTATATTGTATTTTTTTTTTGTTCTTGATGAAATCTTAACCTCTGGTTGACATTGTGTATTCTTTTTATCCACGCCATTTAAGGCAATGGTAAAATTCTTCACAACTTTAATGAGGTCATTAGAGTTCTGCAGAATTTTGAATGAAAAGAATACTTGTTAGGCTCAATTAAAGCTGAAATTTCGAGTTGTTTTGTTTTTTCTTTATTGCGTTAATGCTGAGAACCATAGTTAGGTAAGTGTTCTCTCTGTCAAAATACTTATGAACCTGTTTATAATCTTGTGCCTTACTCTTCATTTCTGCTTTTTTTTGACTTTATACTCATACATCTCCACTTTGGAAAAGAGCTAATTTTAATCCCCTTGTGCACTTGCTTAATGATAATAAAGCTATTCTTGTCTAGCTCTTCTACTGTGTTGTAATATTCGTCCTCTAAAATGAAAAAGTAGCCCTAAACTTTGATCCTTTTGTAGAAGTTCTTTTATCTTCAATTGGAAAGGAAAACAAGAACGTAGTGTTGGCGAGAGTGATTTTTTAAAATTGGTATATGCTTTATTTTCAAACATATTTATATTGCTCATGTTCTACAAATAATTAAAGGATGATGACTCTAAAAGATTCTCTTAAAAAAATACATGTTCCACATTGCACGTTTGTAAACTTTGCATTAAATATTAGGTAAAAAACTTATACATAAAATGTGTTTAATGAAAGAATAATTTTCCAGATAATATAATGTAAAATGTAAATGTAAATGTAAATGTAATGTAATGGAAAATGGAAAATTAAAGTTTAACTTTCTTCCTTTTGATCCAAACCTTAATGCAATAAGTTCCTCAGCCTGGGACTGGCCTTCCTAAATGTTGTATAGATTATTATCTGACTATTATCTGATTTATCAAACTTTCCTTTGCATNTTTTATCATCTGCTTTTCAGGCGAGAAAAAAAATATATGGAACCTTCAATTTCTTTTTGTGAAACTATTTATTGAAAAGAATTATACTTACTGACCTTGTTTGCTTTACAGGTGTTTATAGTCAGACTCTGAGAGAATCTGAACCAGTGGCTAAAGGACCTGGAGAGTCTCACAAACTGACCTGTACAGCTTCTGGATTCACATTCAGCGACTACTGGATGCATTGGATCAGACAAGCTCCTGGGAAGGGACTGGAGTGGCTTGCTCGTATCAGTAGTGGTGATGGTGGATACACAGAGCATTCTCAGTCAGTCCAAGGCAGGTTTACCATCTCCAGAGACAACAGCAAAAATCAGCTCTATCTGCAGATGAACAGCCTGAGAACAGAAGATTCTGCTGTTTATTATTGTGCTCGACAGACACAGTGACTGAAGTCAGTTCAGCAGCTGTACAAAAACCTCAGCTTCCTTCAAATGTATCTGAGACGAGCTTTCATTTTGATAGGTAGAATCCATTGCAATATATTTTTAGAAAACACAACTTATCTAAAGAATAGAAAATTTACTTTGTTTGAATAACTGGGTGTGAGAAAACCACTTTAAGTTCATTTTGATTGTAAATAATTGTGTTTTTCTATTCTTTTTCTTTTCTTCTATATTCTTTCTATTTTTCTATTTTAACTTCTGCAAATAAAGAGTATGAAAAAAGAAGCTTCTTGTGTAAATTATTTCTGAAATTTTAAGGAATTCAATTAATTCTAAATAATTACCTTATAAATCCTTTAATGGTACAGGACTGTTGTGTAATTTATGATTAAAAGTAAACAAAACCTGTTGTTAGGGAGGGGGTAGCATGTTTTTTTTTTTTCTTTTACATAAATAGAATTCCATTCTTATATACCAATTCTATTTTTAATTTGAGTTGAAACACAGCAACAACAAATGTGGTCAAATCTGTTTACTTATTTTTGGTTAAATTTTAGGATTAAAGTTTAATTTTGTTGATGTTCCAACATTGTCTATTAATTGATGTTAAGGTAAGGTGATTATTTCTATTTAATTGCCTCAGATTTTTGCCATATTTTATGAAAGCTATACAAGAGTTGAGAGTGCAAACATTTATTAAAGATGTGTGTGCTGGTTTTGTAGTTTGTTTAAAAAAATCAATGCTTAGCAGGCGCCTACCCTCACACACCATTTTCTTAAGCATTGAACTGAATGTGACATATTGTGAATTTTTTCCCTTTTTGCTGTTTGGGATGTTTAACAAAACGGTACATACAAAAATTTGGATCATGGAGCCGAATCAATCAATCAATCAATCAATCAATCAATCAATCAATCAATCAATCAATCAATCAATCAATCAATCAATCAATCAA